AAGGAAATTTAACCCCTACTTTTGAAATCAAGTCTGAGGGAAAGTACATCTCCAAAGTCGGTTCCCTCCTGTTTTGCTATCCTTCCAGCTTCACCTTTCGGCCCTTGTTCCTCGATAGCATTTTTTAGCATCTGCTCATCGATAACAGAGGGCTCGATTGTGTCATAAAGACGACTCATGGTGTAAAAAAACAGAAGAATTAGACTAAGAGGCTACATTTGTGCTAATGGCCGAGAAAAACTTTCAAACTTCGCACTGTTTCTTGTTGTCCTGGACAACGCCGTCGTTTTGAGTAGACTGGTACTGAAGTATTACACTGCTCATGCTCTTGGAGAAACCGCTAGTAAACAGAAGGCTCAAGATATTTGTAAGAGATCAAAAACTGATCAAATCAAAGTTTACGATCGACTTCAAAATATTTTATTCCCTCAAAATGATGGAATATGAATATGAAATAGACCCCAGGTATGTGAGAAGTAGTTATAACCTTTATTAAATCCTTTGATATCGAAGTTCGTTTCATTCAAGGGTTTCTTTTCTTGATTTCTTTTTGCTACCAGGGGGCTACAAGGAAAACCAGGATCGGTGGTGTTGAAAAAAGACAAGCAAAATTTAATTGGAATAAGCATCGGTGGCGGAGCTCCTCTTTGTCCTTGCTTGTATGTCGTTCAAGTATTTGATAACACTCCAGCTTCTCGAGAGGGTGTGCTTCAGGCAGGCGATGAAATTGTCGGTGTAAATGGAAAATCTCTCAGAGGAAAAACAAAAGTCGACGTGGCCCGAGCTATTCAAGCCGTTAAAGTAAGTTCTCTTCTTGGTCCTCTTTTCTGTACACATGCGAAAGAAATTCATTTCATAGCAAACTGTTTGGTAAGTAGAATTGAGTATAAGCCAAATTTAGCTCTGGATGGAAAGCAGAGCCTTTCATGACTGAATGATTGGATTTATTATTGTTTAAAAGTTTCATCAATTATTGATTAATGAATGAAACTTTCATTGGATGTCAATATGATTAGCTTTTCCATTCCTCAAGACCTGATTTTTAACTCGAATTAGCCCTTCCACTCTCTGAAGAGACCAATTAGTAATTTCTGCTTAAGATATCCATTTAATGTCAAGCAAAAATGTTATAAGAATAATGAAATCATAAACCGGGGAAAATCGCTCGTCTCAGCATCAAATTTCCAGAGCTAAAATTGCAACTGAAAGAATGTATGATAGACAGTAAGGATAATTAATATGCAGATCTTGGAAGTTATGTGGTCCATATGTGGGATTACTTAATTTTCATGCTTCATGTTATTGTTGTTGTTGTTTTTTTTTAATCAACAAATCACAGTAATTAATTAAAAGATAATATTTATTTGCATTTACCATGTTAAATGACCTAATTATTATTCAACAGTTTATACTTATTACATGGTGTAGAAACCTAACTTAACTGACTTTTCATACAGTTGATTGAATTTTATTATTGACATTAGCTCTTGATGTAAGATAAAAGCATGCATTGAAAGTTTGAAAAATCATAAAATGTATTTACAATATTCAAAATTATTTTTAGTTCAAGTAACAAATTATGCCACTTAACACTACTCTCTTGTTTGCTTATCAAATTAGGAGGAAGTTACTATAAACTATGTCAAGCTACATGCTGAACCAACAGAAGGAAAAACTCTGGATATCAGTAAGTGAAAAGAGTGAAAATATGATATGTAAAATAATTAATGATACAATTATCTGATTGATATGGTATGTTTTATTTAATTATATATTTTTTATTTGAATGTTTACTTATTTATGAACCACCTTCATTAAAAAAGCCCTTGGAAGGCCATTATTTAAGGGATTTTTTGAAGACTTGATGGAGTGCTGGATTCTCTTTTAAAATTTTCTCACATCCTTTGAAAAATACAAGGAGAAATTGATGTTGCTGAAAAAGTCAGTTAAGGCTTAATTACATGTTCTTCAGTTTTAAAAGGTATTAGAGACAGATCTGCCCATGTTCATGAACTTGTTTTTGTTTTTTATTACATAGTATTAAAGAAAATGAAACATCGTATAGTGGAGCACATGAGCTCATCAACTGCAGATGCTTTGGGTCTCAGCAGAGCAATTCTGTGTAATGGTAAGTGGTAGAAGACAGAAAGTACTGTAACCTTTATGTGTCAATCTCTGACTGTCTTTTTTTTTTGTTTTTTACCTTTCTTTGTGTCTGTGACTGTCAGTCCACTTCTTCATATTCCATTAATTTTGTCAGTTCAATACAGATGAGAGGTTTTTAATAGGTTTGCTATTTGTTTTGCTAAAAAAGTTGAAGAAACTGTTGTTTTTACATTTAAGAGAGGTTATATACAAGTTGACCAGTTACTCCCTCTTTGAATGAAAAATGGTATAGTTGTTTACATGCAGATACATATTCCATTTTGTTTTAAGTTATTTAACATGTCTTTCTAAAACATTTAATATTTTGTTTCTCTTCAGATGGACTGGTTAAAAAAATGGAGGAACTGGAGCAAAATTCCAATATCTACAAGGGTACCTTTTTTTGTTGTTGTAATTTTGGACATAACTTTGTTTGTTCCAAGGTTCTCAAAATTTATAGGAAAAAAACACTTATCCATTTATCTCTTTTTCAGGTCTTCTTGATCATGCCAGACAGTTTCTACAAAGCTTTTATAACTTAGCTCAAACACATAAAGGTATGAAAAGATACTAGCATTTTTTAATACATGGGGTTAATTTATTCGCAGAATTAGCCAGTTGGAAAATACAGACTTGAAGATTGTCATTCTTGGGTCTTGTGAAAAAAATATCCAATTTATAACTTAAAATTCAATTGATCTTATTTTGCAGAACTTGGAGAAATATTTGCTTCCATTGGTGTGAGAGAATTGCAGCCAAATGCAAGTGAGGCATTTGCAATTTTTAGCGAGGCTCACAGGTAATAAAACTAGGCGGCAGTAAACAGGTATACTAGAAAAAGATAAGCTAGAAAAAAGATAGATCAAATGAAAAATTCCCGGGTTTTATTTGAAACGAAGATGACACTGATCAGGATCATGGCTGTTTTTGGAGCAGTTATCCTTGCAGTACTTAAATTTGAAATTATCATCTGGTACTTGATTAAATCTTATTTATTTATTGTTTCTTTCAGAAACTTTGAGAAGCTAGGAATGGATTATCTAAAGAAAGTCAAACCCATGTTGAGTGATCTGAACACTTATCTTTCTAAGGTACATTTAATTGATACAAATTGGTACAGATTTTGATAAATTAGCTTTAGGTATTTTATTGTTATGCCAGAAATATAAACACCATCAACTAATAGTAACACCTTTCCTTTTACAGGCTATCCCAGATACCAAATTGACTATCAAAAAATATGCTGATGCTAAATTTGAATATCTGGTAAGTTAAGTGCAGCTTAAAATTTAATGCAATAATGTACAGTAGTCCACTTCAATAACCCACAATGCTCACTTTACCCCAAAAATCCAAGATATCCTGCGCGATAATAATTTGTTACACTTTTTTTTCTGCAGTCATATTGCCTGAAAGTAAAGGAGATGGATGATGAAGAATATGCTTATGCTGTAAGTTTGGCTCCTGTCTCCTGTTCCTTTTCTTGTTTTAGAATCAGTTATCAGTGGTCAATATTTGTGAGTCAATGCATTTAGTAAAAAGGATCGATTCATTGTTGTCTTTCCTATCATAAGGTATGTGTCTTCACAGTTGTCTGTGATTGACTGTAAACACTTTTGCAATCACTATTTTTCACAGGCATTGCATGAATCACTTTACAGAGTAGAGACGGGAAACTATGATTACAGGTACATCTCTTGCTCTTCAAATTTGCTCTCAAAATGCATGCTTGCATGTTTTTGTTTTTTTATTTTTGCTGGCATGTTTTACAGGTTTATGATTTAAACTGTTCTGTGGCATGAGGAATAATGCAACCTTTTCTCATTTGGGTATGATGTAGGGTGGTGTTGCGTTGTCGTCAGTTAGCCAGGGAGAGATTTGCAAAACTACGATCAGATGTTCTTGTGAAACTTGAACTTCTTGACCAAAAACATGGTGAGTCTCTATGCATTAGAATTTCTCTGTTTGTGCTGTGTAACTTTGGCACTACTCTTGGGAAAGATTGGGGTCATTTTTTAACACCAAGGAAACTCAGATTATAATTTGGAATTCACCCATTGTTCACTAGGCTAGCAGTTCCAATTTCTTCGAAGAATAGTTGGCCAAAACACCATCAAAATGGCAATACAATAACACATGGTTGCACAAAAATCCTCAAAAATTACTCTCCATTTTAGGTGCCTTTACCTAACAAAAATACCAAAAAAGTCTGAATCCTGAATTCACCAAGGCCTTACCTCAACCACTGACTTTAACTATCCAAGATGATACTCTTAGTAGTCTACTAATTTCGGTCAGTAGTGAAGTTTCCTTTTTTTAACACTTTTTGCTATTTGTCATTTCCACAGTACAAGACATTGTTTTTCAACTTCAGCGGTTTGTTGCAGCTGTTACAGAATACCATGAGAACTGCTATTCAGTGCTGAAGGATGCCAATGTTTTCCCCATTGAGGTAGATTTAACAAGAGGAGCACTGGGAAACACACTCAAATAACTTTCAACTTCATTTCATCACACAAAATGATGGTGAAGAAAAAAGGGGCATTAGTATTGGGAATAGAAGTTTAACTGATATCTCTTCATCGTCTTAATTTATTTAAAGAGCTATGTAACAGTATTTGGAGTCTTTTTTGTGTATCTGTAAAGCTACCTTCAACTTTATGGGATTAGTACAGAATATATTATGTAGCCAATTAGGCAAAGCTAATCCAAGAAGGATTGAAATTGGCAAAGAATAGGGAAAATCAACCCAGATTGAAAGTAATAAATGAAAGATGTACGCAATTCACGGTTTTCTTTTTTTAGCATACTGAAAACCATGACTGTAACCATTACAACAAGTTTTTCAAAAAATATCATTTCAACAGTTAAGCAATGAGGAGCTCAATTGCCTTATTCAGAATAAAGTTTTTGTAGAAGGTACTGTATGTGACAGTCTTGTAACTTGCATGCATCCATCAACAAAACCAAGTATACCATAAAATTGGTTTTTTCCTCTGGAGAAATAAGGTTCTAACCAGTCAAATTCTAGTTCAATATATTTGGACAAAGGAGGAACCAAATGATTATTAGAGAAAGGCTTACTATGTGGAGGACTTCTCTGCTGGATGTAACCTAGTCACATAGAATCTTAGGTTGTTTATGACAAGGGAATTCAGGTGGGCACCAAATGGTATTGTCACTTTTTGTATCAGAGTTTGCTTGTCAATGTGGAAGAGTAAAATATAAATATTTGTACACTGCATATTTGCAGAGAGAACGCCTATGGAATTATGTTTAAAGTTCAATAAATTATTATAGATTGAAGAAGTCAGTGTACAGTCATGCATTTACACCATGGTAATGTTACCAATAAAGTTTGAGAAACTGGAGATTGTGTAAGTTCTGTGTTTTGTCAAATATTTATGTTCCCTAGGCAGTGTGTACCACATGTGGTTTTTGGCTTGCATCCTCATGTTTGTTTTTACACTTGACATGAAACACAAATATACAGACTTGCTGAGGTAATGACGTCTTGACTTTGCCTTTGACAATGGCTTGGTGGGTACCTTCAGTTTTGAGGATCCTGCCTCATTTTTTTCAGTGATTCCAGTAATTTCAGGCAATGCTCAAATGTTCATGCCAGGAGACACAAATATTCCAGATGATGTTTACAAAATAAAATGTAATTGATATTTGATCTCTAACTTCTCTATAGGTTTGTACATCTCATCAACGAATTATCTGCTAAAAAAAAAATTTGTTCTTGTTTCAGTATGCTTGGGTTGAATTCATTACAAACTCTGTTTTTGTTTTTTTTACCAGCAATTGCATTAAAAAATCAATTTTTTGGTTTAAGTCACCTTTAGGCGCATCAAAGTTCCAAAAGAGATATTTCCAAACATTTAAATAAAAACTGAAAATTTGCTAGTTGATATGCATCATGATGCAGAAAATCTATACAAAATTTTGAAAAGTTTTTGCCTAGTTTGTGACCTGAACTCATTCTGAGGTTCTTTATCTTTCTTCCTTGAAAAAAGTCCAGATTCCTCTCTTCCAGGGCATACTGGGAATGATTTTGTCCAGTTTTAAGGTACATAAGCTAATGATTCCATTTAGAATCTGTGCCACAGAGCATGGTCTTGAAATGCTGACTGTTGAAAAAGATCCAGCCAGTTTTTCTCAATGCTTTGGAGGCCCTTTGCAAACATTCTCCAAGAAACTGCATAGCAACTGTAGAGAGCTGAGGAGATCACAGTACACCTTGCTCATCTGAAGACCACCTCCATAACTTGATGCTCTTATCAAGTGAACCTGATACAATAACTTGATCTGATGGATGAGCATCACAGCTTAATACAGGTTTTGTGTGTCCACTCAGCTTTCCCACAATTTGACAAGAGTTTAGTTCCCACATGTACAGCTGATTGTCTTCTGATCCAGATAACACCCACTTGCCATTCACCGTGCTAAGGCAGCTCATTACACAGTAGTCCTTGTTTAGATGTCCTGTTGATAGATGAATACATTATAAATAACTAAAGTATCATACATGCAGGTAGCATGTTTGATGGGGACAAAACAGCTCCTCAGATAATGCCAAATTAACTTAAATGAGATTATTGGTATCTAATTAAAAGAAACTGTAGTGTTGCATTGGCAAGGAAGGAAAAATGACCTGTGGGGTAGATATCAAGCAATTGCAACATTAACCTGATAAGGTTGCAATTAGGGGTATTGTGGGGAAAAAGTGTCACAAAGAAGAGTGAGATAAACAAACAACAGGATACTATGGTCTCTTGTTGGTTACTGAATTCTTTGTGATCACCTCTTTATGTTTGATCCTTAATATTACAGTACCTATCCTGTACCTAATATCAGTGTAATTAGCATATTCTTCATACTTTTCCCCATACATTTCCTAAGGCACTAACAAGGAGAATTTGTTTAACAATCAAGAGCTTCATTAGTTGGTGATCATTCCCTTCATTCTTCTGACCTTAATGTGTGATTCAGGGGTGACACTGTAATGAGAAATTGGATGTTAGTCACTCTAAAAACAAATAATGAAAGCTGATCACAGGGCAAAAACTTAGAATGATACCTTGGTAGGTTTTGATAATCCTTCCTTGTCCAATTTTGTAATCCCACATTGTAAGTGTGCTATCAAGGGTTGACATCAACAGATATTTGCCATTTGGTGACATTGTGGCATGAGATATGGGTAAATTTGACTGCTGGCTTACTGAGATGGATTTCAAACAACAGCCAGACAGTACATCCCATACACAGCATTTGCTGTCATAGCTACATGAGATGACAAGGGTCCCGTCCCTGCTGAACAGCACTGCTGTTACTGCTCTACTGTGGCCAACTAAGGTTTTCAGACAAGTACCTGATGATAAAACAGCCCATAAGTATACAAATAGATATTAGCAGAAAAAGAAAAATATCAACGATGAAACCTAAATGGTACCTAAATGGTAAGTGGAAGTTGGACAGAAAAGTGAGGTATACCTTGATTAAAGGGCTTGTTTCTTTCCCCCAGCCCAAAGGAGCTTCAAAACATACTTTTTTTTTTACATAAACTGCTCCAAAATTTACCCCACAAATGAACAAATGCAGCAAGCTTAGAAAACCCAATTGTTTGTGGTTGGGATTATCACATGCTTACTCTTGTGGAGGAAATCAGTTTAACCTCTTCTGGTTATAATCTGCTCACCAAGCTACCAGCAATTGATAATATGCTGCTGTATTTTGTTAGTTGTGGCAAGCAAGTTAATACTGCCCACCCCCCCCCCCCCTCCCCAAGAAGTATACGAAGACCTTAACCCCTGTCAAATTTCTTAGATTTTGTTTCATTGTTTTTCTGAATCAAATTCCACACTCATTAGTTTGATGTGACTTCAGCAGTTTTATATGCTTTTTCTTTTCTTTTTTTTTTCATAGGCCACTTATTGTGATTGGAGGCAAACCTCTACCTGGGGCCCCTTCCACCTCAAACCCCACCCCAGCGCGGTGTGCGTAGAATGGAAGAGTTTGATATGCACTTGCCATACTTTACATATTGAACCTCACCAAACCCTTCACCTTCATAATTTGCAATAGCTATTCCTATATTGCACCTTCAGACACGTCCCAGATCTTGATGCTTTCATCAAATGAACCCGACACAACCAGAGTTGTTTTCAAGTTAAAACAGCAACAGAAGGCATAATCTTGATGACCAAGAAGAATCTTAACACAAGTCATGCTGGCAAGATCCCATATCCTTACGCTGGTATCGTCTGATGCCGAAACAAGAAACTGACTCGCAGAATTCCAAGAAACTTCAGAAACTTCAAGCTTATGTCCTTTCAAAGTCCCTTCTAATTTTCCAGCCGAGTTCCATATTTTGATCAGTTTGTCGGCTGAAGAGGAAGCTATAAATTGCCCGTTTGGGCTAAATTTAACACAGGAGACTCCCTTACGATGGGATTTAATCGTTTTTTCGTCTGTACCAGTAAATTTATGGCTGTTTTTTGGTAATTCACAGCTGACATCCATCCTCTCGCTAAAGAGCCATTTTGTCAATCATTTCAACCCCACCCGGGAGCGTGACGTTTTTACCTCATCATTTTGAGGCTGATTGCGAAGTGTGGTAATATGGCTACCGTAGCGACCAAACTTCGAAGGATATATCTGACCTAGAATACACTTTTTGAAACGTCCTATTTAGTTAAAAAGGATTGTACTGAAAAAATACGTTTTGGTGGATAGCTCATCAAGAAATCTCGTCGCCAAAATGGTGAGACTCCCCTTGTGTTTTACAAACGAATTTTTGTTGTATGGCAACCGTCGACAGAGTTTACATTTTTATAATGCACTGGAAAATTTAGATTTTTAGATTGTTTTTTCCCATAGATCGAGCCAAAATTATATCATTTTACTTCTACTTTTGATTTTCCTCAAATTGCCTTGCTCTTTTTCGGTGAAATCCTGCAGATGCTCTCAAGGAAGAAGCCGGCCGTAGGCCCTGGTTCAGGAAACACGGTGTCATCTGCTAAGGAGTCGAAAAAGAAACGCAAGTTGCCAAAATTGGAGGATTTTTTACAAATGAGAGACTATACTGGAGCTATAACTTTAGCAGAGGTAATGGGAATTCGATCCTTAAATTTCAAATATGTAAAATTTTAGAGTTTTTCCTTGGCAATATGGTGGAATGAAGTCGGAACAGGGACGTTCCATTTTTACCCACAAACCCAGCCACCCCCTTCCCTCTCCTGATGAAGATGATTGTCTTTTTTTTCCCTACAGAGGATAAATATTTTTTTCGGTGAAGCCAACAAAATTTGAAGCTCTTGGCTGAAAAACTGAAATTCTTCCCATTTGAAATTCCATTTTCAAAATTTTCTTTTGGATGATAATGAATATACAGATAAAAGTGAATAAATAAATGCTGAATGTACCAGGGCAGTTCATAAACAAGTTGCGTGAAGCAAGTGCATGAAGCACTTGTTTATGACAATTTTGGTTTTTTTTTCTGTCCATCACCTGAATTTATCTGTGCTGCATGTACATCTATTTTTCCAAAATTCTAGTTTAACCGCAACTCTGGAAAGGGAAGTGAAGAGACAAATCTTTGGATTGCATACACAGCATTCCATTTAGGAGATTACAAGAAAGCCATGGAGGTAAAGTTCTGGAAAGATAACAGCTATGCATTAGTCAAAACAAACAATATATCAATAAATTCTTGTAACTGGTTTACAGAAGAAAGTACTGATAATGCATGGAGAACCCTAACCCTAAGCTCATCTCTTGAGATACTGAGTTATTACTGAAACCACAAAAATAATTCTAGCCAAAAAGTTAAGCCACTGATTGGTGTTATTTTCATCTTGATTAGGAGTATCTGGCTCTAACAAAAAGTGAAGCTTGCCATCCAGATGTGTGGGTAAATCTTGCATGCTGTTACTTTTTCCTTGGAATGTACAAGGAGGGTGATGAGATGGCTTTAAAAGGTAAGAAATGTTGTTTGAGATTTATGTACCAACTATTGCAGATAGAAATGTTGTCTGATGGCAGTCTTTTTACCAGATCATGAATGAATTTGAAATGAAGGTTTTTGCATTTTGATATGTTTATTAAGATTGGTTTAACAATACTTTGTGTTTTTGACATGTCAAAACAATTTTTAGGTCCAAAGAGTAGACTTCAAAACAGGCTGTTATTTCACTTGTCACATAAGGTAATATCAAAGTTGTTTAATTTAATTCTAACTAAATGTATATTGGTTATTTAATTCCAAGCATTTCTCACATCACTATATGGTGTATACAGTAGAACCCATACTGGTAATTGTTGATTTTTTTGGGTTAACAGACAATTCTAAGGTTGCAAAACAAACTTGATATTTAAATTTCTACCCTTTCTAATAATGATCAGGTTCTTCAGAGGGAATCATCATTAAGTTGTATTCCTGATTAAGGGACTATTCTGCTGTACATTTCTGGCACAAAAGTATAACAAATGCTCTCCTATCTTAGGTCAGTAACATGCATGCTCTTCCCAGACTCCTATGGCCATGCTAACACTACAAATTTGTATATGGAATCCCAACATCACTCATTTATAGCTTGATTCATTCTCTGTGTATCACTCAATTATTTTTGGATATTTCATTATTATTAATAGTTTAATGATGAGAAAAGACTGATGACCCATCATCAAGCCTTACAGGATATTATTGAGGACCAGGTAATTGAAGACAAGAATGTACAAAATGTTATTAAAAAATATACATTTTTGGAAATAATAATGTGCAGTTTCCAAATTTCATGTGCTCTTCTATAAAATGCTTTTTATATTTGTTTTAAATCAAACAGCTCAGCCTAGCCTCTATCCATTACCTGAGAAGTCATTACCAAGAAGCTATTGATATTTATAAGAGAATTCTTCTTGATAACAGGTAGAGTACAACAAGCATAGGATAGTCCACATACCATTAGTACAACTTTTAAAATAATTTATGACTACTGGACCAGGTACATAGAATTTAAGTCATATTCAAATAGTGCACAAGGTAAGAAAGTACTGGAAAGTGATTTGTAGAACTATTACTGCAAGGTAATTTAGTGTTAACAACTGAGTTGAAAATGTAAATTAGCCACCGTAAAGGATAAAAAGCTGGCATTTCAAGTGTTAGCCCTTCGTCAGAGTGATCGGACGAAGGGCTAACGCTTGAAATGTCAGCTTTTTTACCCTTTACGGTGGCTAATTTACATTTTCAACTCAGTTGTTAACACTAAATTACCTACTATACTCTCCCACCAATGCAGCACCACAGCTTCTTTAGAAACTTACTCCTTTATTACTTCAAGGACTAGCTGTCTTACAGGAGTTGCTGTTGCTAGCAGAAAAAAAAATTGGCAACTAAATTTGTTGGGAAAGTCTTCAATTTGGCAACACAATTGCTTAAAATAAAAATAGTTAGTCACATGCAGTATGATTATCTACTACAGTTTTTAAAATTTTGCACTGTTCAGTTTCAACTGATTGTTTTTTTTTCCTGTAGGGATTATTTGGCCTTGAATGTGTATGTTGCCTTGTGTTATTACAAACTTGATTATTATGATGTCTCTCAGGTAATTGTTCTATGTCTGTTCAAGCTTTCCTCTTTGTGCTTGTTAATTTATTACTGAATTTAAAGCAAGTAAACTGAGTACTTTTATTTGAATGCTGGGCTAATAAATTGAGATTCTAAATGTTGTTTGGAAATTAACATTTTCTTTTAAAGTAGATTTTTAAAATGATTAGTGTGAACAAAAATTACAACCACTGTAAATAATGTTGTTATCAATGGTGAATTTATGGGACAACCATGGATTACAACTTGTAGATACATTTATAAGAATAATTTACCAGTCAGAAATGTGATGGTTTTTTTTTTGTGAGAATGGTTGTGCAGAACTGATTTTCACTATCTACTTAATTTGTAGGAGGTACTAGCTGTTTACTTGCAGCATTATCCTGACAGGTAAACTGACATCACTCTGTACAATCAGGGTCAAGTGGAATAATCTCAAATATTAGTACTCTACTCTTGTCACATTAAGCCTGGTTTTCACTTATGATGGGGTCAGAGTCATAATCAGTGGGTAGAGTTATATGATATAGTGAAAACTGGATTGTCAGAGTGGTAAGCCTTTGGATGGTGTGAGAACTGGCCTTTTTTTTTTGGTTGGATCTTCCACTTCTGCTTACAACTCCAACAATCTTGGTTTCACTGGATCACAAGTGTCAATATCATAAGGGGAATTGAAGGAGAATGAAATTGTATTGAATAGATACTTCCACTTCTGATTCCATCTTAAGTTTATGACTCTGCTTATGACCTCTACCATTTTTGATTTCCACTAAGTTGGAAGTGCTCTCACCACCATGACAATGACTTGGTTAAACTTCATCTCCAACTCCATTGCCAGTCAAAACCAGCCATGAGTCTTGGAATTTGTGAAATGCTTGATAATCAATTTCTTCTATCTTTAGTTTAAGTCTCAACCTATCCTTTTGGTTTCAGTGCCATTGCAGTAAACTTGAAAGCATGTAACCACTTTAGACTCTACAATGGGAAAGCAGCTGAGGTGAAAAATGCTATAATTACTCATTGACAGTTTTCAATTTCTTTCTGAAAACTTTCTTGCACTCAGCTCAGTAGAAAACTGCTTCGTGCTTATATTTTGCATCTCAGTGAGACTGTGATCAGCTCCCTTATCTCATTAGCAGTTTCTATTCAATGAACTGTATGTAATAGTTTGTTTTACTCTACTGTTATCGCCTGTCTACTTGACATTCTAATGGTACTGTATCAGTTGGTCACCTTTCAGTCATGAGCATATTCATAAAAAGGAGTAGATAAGTATCAAGAGTGAATAATATTATTAACCTATGCCATCTTGAGATTAACTATGAACAACTTTCTTCTCAGGGTGAGCTTAAGACTCTACAAGAGACAGCAAGTCCTTCTTTTAGCTTTGCCAATGATCTCATTAAGCACAATCTGGTGAGTTGTGCAAACCCTGCAAATATTTCAAAGAACAAGGAGGAGAGTCCTTACATGTAGATAGTGAAATGTGCATTTGAAGAAAATTAAATAACATTACATACAACCCGTAGCTAGAACAGAGACAAAGGCAAATGCTACATGAAGAAGCAAGGAGACCCAAGGTCACTGAGGGAATTAATCTTTCACTGGACCTAAGGATTCTTGCCCTAAAGCCTGATCTAGCATTCCTGCAACGGATGTATGTAAATTTTACTTTTCTGTCTCCTTTTACCAGGTTGTTTTTAGAGGTGGTGAAGGTGCCTTACAAGTTTTACCACCCCTGGTGGATGTCATTCCTGAAGCTCGCTTGAATTTGGTAAGTACATGTTCTAATAGTCTTCAAAAGTACATCTTAACTAGTAATCAGCTGAAATGTTGAAAAATCCCTTCCTAATCTGTTTCATCTTGTGGCTTGCTAATGTTTGTCATATTTTTTGTTCCATTTTGTAGGTTATCTATTACCTGAGGCAAGGTGAGAAGCAAGGGTTATTTTGAAATTTGAAAATGAACAGTATAAAAGAGTTCATTTTTATACTGATAATTAATTTTTTATGTGTACCTGTTTCATCAGATGATGTTGTGGAAGCTTATAATCTTATCAAAGATTTGGAACCTACAACTCCCCAGGTAGACTTGAATTACAATTTTTGCATACAGCTGCCTTGTTTGCAAGAAAACTGAGGTCTTGTCTTGTTTCATTGTAGGAGTACATCCTAAAGGGTGTGGTCAATGCAGCTTTGGGACAGGAACAAGGATCTGTAAGTTCAGCTTCTCCTTATCACTGTCATTGCCTCTTGTTGTTACTGTGCTTTAGAAAATTGAAGATATTTGTTTTATTGTTTTAGAGGGAACACTTGAAGATTGCTCAGCAGTACTTTCAGCTTGTTGGTGGATCAGCCAGCGAATGTGGTACGTTTTGCTCTTTTCTGTGTATCTTACAAGACAGGGGAGACATTTACGTTACTGTAGCAGTGGTTTATTTTTTGAAAAGCGCTTCATCATTACGGTGAAACCGTTAAATAATAAGGTTTGCTTGGGTAGGCAAACACCCTAGAAGTAAGTCCAGAATAAATTACAAAGGATCGCGTCTGTCTATGAATGGAGAAGCTAAGTGCGAATCACAGATTTCGCTTGTAAAGTTTAGGTTTGTTGACTAAACCGTGAATTACTTACTTTTAGTCAGGAGAGGGCCAGCGCTCTAGTTTCCAAATAACCACAGGGCATCAGTTTGTGGAAGGGTTATAACTGAGGGGATCTCTGAGTTGTTGTATTTGCAGAAAGTAAATCTATGGTTGACAGTATTTTTAGGAAAAATGCAGGAGGAAAAACATAGATCGCTCAATTTTCTCTGCTTTTAGGTACACTATATCCCACTCTTTCAATTTTGTACCATTTATTGCCAGCCACTGTAATTTTTTTCTTTTCGTTGAGTTTTGGATGCATAAGCTGTCTATTGTTTTCCCAATATAGATACCATTCCAGGAAGACAGTGTATGGCATCGTGTTTTTTCCTTTTGAAACAGTTTGAAGATGTCCTTATTTACCTCAACTCAATCAAGGTAAGAATCAGGTCGAAAGAGTGAAAAAGAAACTCCTTATTTTTGTATTGACCATTCGAACGCACATGATGGGTTTCACTAAATATGTCTTGATACATGTAGATAATTTGATTTTTTTAATCAACTGAGTTGACAATGTAAATTGGCCACCGTAGAGAGTTTCGAAAGACGACGTTTTGAGCGTTAGCCCCTCGTCATTCGCTAAACCAGGATAACGGCGAAGTAACCGAAGTAATAGGTATGTCGGCGAGTTGACATGTCGGCGAAGGGACCGTGTACCATTTACTTTGTTAACTCAGTAGGTAAAACCAAATCATCTCAGAACGCTCCCCACTGATCAGAAGCAGTACCACCGTTTCTTTAGAAACTTTCCCCCTTTACTTAGGTTCTAATAGAGTCACATTTGAAAACACTTGTAAGTCTAATGAACGATTGAATACTTGTGCCTCTAACAGTGCCTAGAACCCCTACTGGTGCGTGGGGCGTGCACGATTAGCGAGGATCCTTATTTTGGAACTTAGCAGCGGTTTAGGTTTAAGACTGACTGTGAAAACCTAGGCAAACTTACTCGAAACGTGCCAGCGAGAATCTCTCAGAGTCCCGTGACTGCTGCCAGACAAGTTTTGTGGCTAAAGTCTTTGTTGTCTCTTTATGTCAGAGTTACTTCTACAATGACGATACGTTCAATTTTAACTACGGCCAAGCTAAGGCGGCTGTTGGCAATTACAAAGAAGCTGAGGAGGTTAGTTGTTATTAAATCAATTGTAAATTGTTGTTCTGTTATGTTATTATTCTACAGGTTGTTTTGATTATTTCTTCTTCTCGACTGTCTTTTAGATCTTTTTGCTCGTCCAGTCTGAAAAAATAAAAAATGACTACACATACCTGAGCTGGTTGGCGCGATGCTGTAAGTAGATTCAGATAATTTTAACAGTTAAGAATATTTTATTTTTTTTAGCTTAATGATTAGAGGCTTTTTAGAGAAGGAAGATTAATTCTTGGATGAGCGCGAGGTGGCGAATGCAGGCCTTGTTAAGTTTTATTTAAGAATGATACTGTTCAAAGAGAATTGATAGTTTAAAAGCCAGACATACATGCAATTCACTGTCAAGTAAATGTTACGGCGGATAATCGTCAATTGGCGTCCTAAAACAATTTGGCACCTCAGATATAAGGAAGGTGGTGATACCGGACCCTTCTAAGGAACAATTCTTTCGTTATTCCTACTAAGTAAACAAATGCCTAAAATGGAAAATCTTCTTTACCTGCGACTCGAATTTTCTTTGAATGTAACGGACTGGAACTCTGTTGAATTGTCTAGACATTATGAACCACAAAGCCCGCCCTGCATGGGAACTGTACCTGAAGATGGAGACATCCGGGGAATCATTTAGTTTACTGCAGCTTATCGCAAACGACTGTTACAAAGTAAGTTCTCTACTTGGTTTCAAAGGAGCTATTATCGCTTTCTGCGCAATCGACCTACTTTACTAACCTTTAACCACTTATCCCTAACATCAGTATCCTACGGGTTGAAGATGCTTAACCTTGAGGTAACTTTTCATTTTTCAAATAAACAAAACAAAAAACACAGTGACACTGTTAAAGAAGAGATCAATTGTAGCAAGGAACCTGGTTGAACGAACTTTATTCATGAAACCTTGATAGGAGCAAATGTATATGAGATACGCCTAGGATTTTTCGAGATTTCGAGATGATTATGTCTCCGTCACACCTTTTTTATTTGTTTTAGAAAGTCGTTACCTTTTTTTCTTTTTTTTTTTCCCTCCACAGATGGGTCAGTTCTACTACGCTGCTAAAGCGTTTGATGTGTTGGAGAGACTGGACCCTAACCCAGAGTACTGGGAAGGAAAGAGAGGGGCCTGTGTTGGAATCTTCCAGCAAATCATCGCTGGTCATGAACCCAGGTCGGTGTTGAACCTGTTTGTTTGCTTGTGGGAATTATAGGTGCTTAAATCACATGCTTGAATTTCAGGTATTCTGACATTATTTTTTAATGTGACCACTTCAACTTGCTCTTGTCGAGGATTCTTTGACGATCGGTTGCCTTCATACGGCTTTTAAATTTGTTTTCCTTTGGACAAACCTCCCAACAATAGTTTCTCGCCACGACGCCATTTCTTAGCTCAAGTTTCTAGATTTGATTCTTACTCCTCCTCGCAAATTGTCTTATAATTTTTTGAATTAGTAATGAGAATTTGGTGTTATATCAAGGTGACCCACTCTAACCGATTAGTTTGTTAACTCTCCCCACCTGTTTACAGGGTTATGAACTGTTATGTAAGAAGTTAAATGTTTATTACCACTGGGGATTAATAGTTGATTATTTGTTCCAGGGAAACACTAAGAGACATTCTCCAGATCCTCCGAAACACCGGAAACCCTCAAGTGGAATACATCATCCGTACCATGAAGAAATGGGCAAAGGAGAACAGAATACCTGTAACGTAAACCAGCCGAAAGGCTTGCCAAGACACAAATTATCTGCACTTTAATTTAAAAAGTCGTGCTGTCAGTGTGAAGTGTACAGATGAAGTTCCAACGGAGTTTGAGTTCCATAACAGTGCATTTTAAAGCCCTTACCGTGTTCGTAAAGGTCTGATTCAAATCTTTAGCGAAAACAGTCACAACGTCCCTTATAGCAAACCGTCATTGAAAACGTGGGATGACTTGAAAAAACATTGTCATGGATAGCACGAAGTTTTGTAACGTATTTGAAAGGGACGCTCACTCATCTTTGTGGAATGTATGATTTGTAAATATACATTAATTAAACGTTATTTAACCAGTTGACTGTGTAGTCTGAGGAAATGAATAGGCAGCCACGTTTGCCATACACCCCTCGCTCGCAAGTTCAGCTCTAGAAACTCTTTACAGTGGCCAATTTATATTATTAACCAAGTTGATAAAACCAAATTATCTGACAAATATGTAATCTTAATAAATTTATGCAAATTATCAAAAGGCAACAAACTTTAGAAAACGAAAGAACATTTATTGATTCGATGATCCACTTCAACTTGTGGTAAAATCATCGCCTTCCAACTTTTATAAAAGAAATTTGTTTAGCAGATACAAATATAAGGCATCTCTAACAGCCCAGGAAAAGAAAACACTGATCTTCTTAACATCTAAGAAATCTTCAAACCAGCAATGGAAGATTCCAGGGACTGAAAAAACAAACAAACAAAAACGATTGTAACACATAAAAAATGAATTAATAATCCGTTAATCATAATGGAAATTTACAAACACTCCTTCCATTTTAAATAAATATTACTAATAATTATTATCAGGGCTGTGCTGTAGCGAAGCACACGTACTACAGGGCTTACTTTTGTCCATGAGCAGCTTGCGAAATGTTTCATTTAATTTATCTATAAAGATCTTTTAAAGCTGAGCATCCTCAGCTATTTCCAATAGCAAGAATGGCAGGAAATAAATCGGTAAGGGTAATAATACACATAACATGGCATGTAACGAGTAGCTGACCAGTTACCTTGACGTTCCAAATGACAAGACGACCATCAACACCAGATGATGCAAACTTGGTGGCACCTGCCTTAGTTCCACTGTGGATCTGCACTTGACTGAGAAAAGGAACAAAAAAAGGAGGCAAAAACTTTCTAAATTGTAGTAAACTAATCTTTTAATAGAAGCACAAATATTAGTGCCTTCTCTCTTTGCTTCAAAGAGGACTGAAGAGGTATATATATGCCAAATCTGCCTACACGAAACTTGTACTCACTAAATCCATGCCTGATGGAGATAGTGAATAGAGTGGTATCAGCTATAGTACGCACTAAAATAGAATTGTTTCCTACTGTTTACACTTGCTTGGTTACTGTCACCCAATCCATGCTTGATTGAGACAATTGCTCAAGTTTTACCTGTACGAGTGCACTATAGAATATATCCAGTTCCCTCTAATTTCTTAACATAACAACTTTCATAAGTCCTCTCACGTAACATTTGTTTGGCTCTACTATGTACATCACTATGCTTCATCCACACTATTTTTCCAAAAATAATCAGTAGGATACAAAACTAAAATATTCCATTACCATGTAACTTCTTAATATGACAAAAGGTGGAAAGTTTCTAAAGAAACACGTGTTGCATCAGTGGCAGAGTATAACAGGGTAAATTAGTATTATCAACTGAGTTGATAACGCAAATTGACCATGGTAAAGAGTTTAAAAGCTGACATTTTGAATGTTCGCCCTTTGTCAATCATTCAATGAAAGGCTAGCGCTTGAAATATCACCTTTGAAACTCTTTACAGTGGCCAATTTACCTTATCAATTCAGTTGATAATACTAAATTATCCTTTTATGACACTCTGTCCAAAATAATTTTAATAAAGTACAAATTGATTGGAATTTCTTACTTAATGGCATTTTGATGGGTGGTCTGCACTCCTGTACCAGATTCACTGTCATCAGCACTCTGAGCTCGTTTGTCCATGGTGCGGAACTTAGCCATGGCACTGACAGTTCCAGAGGATTCCTTCTTCTTAGGTATATCCAGCTTTTGGCCTCCACTCAGAGTATCATTATCATCATGGTTGAACAAGATTGGGACATAGTCATACCCTAGAATAAAAGAAGTTTGTTGACATTGCTTAATATGCATTAAGAAATGATAGATAAGTGAAAATACAGACTTCAATACCTTGGAGAAATTTGGTACAAATTTTTGAAATTACATTTACATGCTACTGGTGCCCAGAGGGATAGTGACGAAATAAAACTAGCTGCTTTCCAAGCAAGAAGTCCATTTTTTCACAAGCCATGATCAGATGGGTCACATCTAAGGCAGCAAAAATGCTGGAATACCAGCACCCATCGATAGACAACATGTGGCCCTCCTTCCAATTGGAGCACCAAATTCCCAATTTTGTTTTCCATAAAGCATCATAGAAAACAGTGGTGGCTCATGCAATTGCTGATCTTCTAGGTTTATGAGATTAACAACTCAAACCATATTCCACAAAACATCTTTGGGGAGCTTATGCATTGACCTTCTGGAGAAGTTTACAGCAGCCATAAGTTCAGAGTTCTTTGCTCTTTCCCCCCAAGGCTTGGGGTCTTAACCCTTTAACTCCCAAGATCTCATTAGTAATTCTCCTTACTGTCTGCTATAAAATTCTTGCAATGTTACTTCAGAGAATTTGGTATACTGGATCAACTAATAATCACCTAATTGATACTGTTCTTTATTCTCATTGCTTGTCTGCTTAATATTGTATTGATATTATAAGGAGAAATTCTGTCTTGGTCACTCATGGGAGTTAAAGGGTTACGTAGAGTTTTGATGCTGAAGCTATCATTATCCAACTAATAAGCTGATGACAGAGTATGCCAATAACAGTTGCATCCACTTTCTACTTAAGTTCCCTATTTTGATACAAGGCAAGGTATCTCTTGCAAACATTACCAGCAGTGACAATACTGTTTTCAGTGACCCACACACAAGCTGTGAAAGGCAAGAAATCGCCTTTGATAGTTGCCATTTTGGATTCATTAGCAGCATTCACCACACTGATGCTAGAATCATGACCAACCCAGGCAAGTTTGTTTCCTGAGGCAGAGAAACTAACACCATGCACCCAACCACCTGCAATAAAGATAGAGACAAATCAATGGAAACAGTTCTTGTGATCTTTTAAAGAATTTTTCTAACTTTCACTTTGCAAATTCAAAGTTATCAAGTCAGAGGGCATGGCCTGGGGAGATTAACCTCCAATCATGGTTAGCTTAGCTCAGCAAGTATGCAATTTAGCAACCATACTAGGACCTCAAACTGTAATTTAGAGGCAGCACTTCTTTGTGGATTTGAAAAGCTTTAAACTTAAAAATTTTGTGCCAAGTCTAAATAAATTAATAAACAGCAACCAAACTTTAGAATCTACCCAAGCATACTCTACATCAATAAAACAACCTGGCATAAATGCTTTGCTACAGGCTTTGGTAAAAAGTATTTCTTTTTATTTGCAACAAAGTTTATAAGGATCTTAAGGCGAATAAAGCGAAGTAAACCTCACCAACGACTCTAACAGCTTCAGACGCGAAATAAAAAAAATAAAAAGAGTCGGTGAGTTGACTGGTTACCGGCATAAATGCTTTGCTACGGGCCAAAGTCACACTGCTGAAGACTGTTACATGTACATACCTCTGCCATTAGAAAACTCAGACAAACAGCTTCCAAAACTGGATTTCTTTCCCCAGATAGTGTCTGTGTTAGTCTTTCCATCTACTTCCTTTATAAAAGCAGAAAACACCCTATGCGAGCAAATGATAGGGAAGTTAGGCTTTCTACAAATGCACATAGACAACCACCAGAAGGAATTGATACACACACTGCCAAACACCCATAATTGTAAATGTTGAACACACAGTCCTACCATGAATCTTTTAAAGTGAGGAGGATTAACAATCTTCTCAAGATCCTGCCTACCTTGTCTTGAAGTCAGAAGAACCAGCAGCCAGCAATAAGTTGTTTGGATGCCAATCAAGACTGCAGAAATTTTAATCAGACACAAAAGGAATTAATTTTAATGTTAAAAATTAAGTTACTTTGCTCTATCAATTTCTTGAATTATTTCACACCTTATTACAATATACACATACTGGGCCATAATAGTACCTCCTTTTTCAGTTCGAAATAACACTTCCAATCTAACTTTACATTTAATATAAAATTTTTCTTTATACATTTTAACACTCATACAATTTCCCCATAACTCTAGTCAGTAAAAAATTTGCTTAAACTTTGACAAGGGAATGTTTCATGAAACACTCCACAGATTATTATTAGATGTTTGCCTGAATAATATAGAAAGTGTTGTCCACAATAGGAGCTGCAAAATGAGTAATAATGCTCACCACAAGACAGTGGAACGGATTGGCTTCTTGATGTGCTTGCTGACCCACCTACATGCACACAGAACAAGGAAATCAATTGATTGAATTAAATGTTAACTAACCTATATATAAGCACTACCAAAATGCAATGTGCCTTGCACTAAACAAGATCAAACAGTTCCTAAATAAGAGTAAGAAAATCAGACAGCATCATATTACTAACCAGTCATTCTCCTTTTCAAAATAGCACACTGAAATGAGACGAGCACTGCTTCCTACAGCAAACTTGTCCTCTACAAACAACAAAAACTCTATTTTAGAATCCACAGGACTTGAATAAAAAATTGCCTTAGTTTGCAGATCCTTAAGATATTTAATTGCCTAATCTGCAACTTAAGTGTGACAGATTCATTTTCTCCCCTTCACTGTATATGCAAGCTTACTTATGAATATATCTAGTGACTATAACTTTATAACTTGACTAAACTACTACTACTACTACTTTCCCCATACATGCCAGCCTAGTCACGAGTATATCTCATGAACAATTTGGATGTCCAAAACCCAATGTCATAATCCCTCACTGCAGTTCTAAAAGTGGTATTATGAGAAGAATTACAGTTACCTTTAGGAGACCAGCAAACACAGGTTGCAGCACGATTGATACGCAAAATAACAAGCATAGGTTTCCACTGGCCATCTTGTAGGTCCCATACATAGGCATTTCTGTCCTAAAGATGACAACAGTATTCATAATGATTCTATGATGCAAGATTGAAAATTATTTGTTGAAGGTGATGCAAAAAGAGGGTCCAAAACATCACCTGGCCACAAACACAAACTAATGTCATAGCCCAATGGTTTGTCCCAACATGACAAATGTTGGCAGAAGTGGACAAATCTTTAACCCTTTAGCTCCCGTGAGTGACCAAGATAGAATTTCTCCTTACAATAGCAATGCAATATCAGGCAGACATGTGATGAGAATGAAGAAAAATATCAGTTAGGGGATTATAAGTTGATCCAATATGAAATTATCCAAACTAACATCACAAGAACTGTATGGCAGACAGTAAGGAGAATTACTAATGAGATCTTGGGAGTTAAAGGGTTAAATGCATGGCAAACAGAGGGACAAAATTGTGATAAATTTGTCAATCACTAGTTGTAAAAGCTACAACCAGCATGTAATTGAATTGAAATCAGTTTGCTAGGAGGGCAAAAACTGTCTTTCATTGCAAAACTTGGGGATTCTAAAATTTTAAAACGACTTTGGATAAATCCTGGAAATTAGAGGTGGAATCCTTTGCCAAACTATGCTGGCCAGTCTTATGAACAGATCAGGCATTGACAAAATTTGATGGCTTTGAAATTTTTAATGCAGATGCAACAGACGAGACAAAAATTTGCCATGACAAAATTTGTCCTTTGATTTTGTCAGGACAATTCTAGTTTAGTCCGATAGTGCGGAAAGGCCCTCAATGACACTTTTTATCACAAAAACTCACCGCTCCACAGGTGACAAGCCTGTTACTGGTTGGGGCCCAAGCCATTCCTGTCACACGTTGGCCATGCTAACAAAAAACAAAATCAAAGTAAGCTCAAAATGAGAAAAACTTATGGGGTTCATTTGCAGAGAAAGCGACAAAATAATTCAGAATGAAGTAGGCAAACAGTAAAACCTATTAGAAATGATCGACTGCTTAGGGCTGTAGAGGTATGATCATTTGTTAAAAAAAAAATTATTCAACAGAGCACTTCAATACTTAAGCAACTAGATCAGACACATCTGATTGTGGTTAATTTTTCTATTCATCGTCCGCACCTCAGACAGTACAACTCCTTTATCCCATGTGTTGCCAGCTCTCTTGCAAATGTGAACGGTGCTGTCATTTGGAGAAAACGCCAGCTCTGCCGCATCAAAAACAAAAGTATCAGAATTTTTCATTCAGGCAAGGAGTTATCAACCCCTCTACAATCCATATCGGTAACTTTCACCGCGATTAGACATTAGGATGAGTAATTTTTACGCAGACAAAACTAACTTCAGCTGTACGTAGCGGAAGTAAATTAATGAATCGGTAAAGACTTACGACTGCAATCCTTGTTGAAACAGAAGCAAGTAATCGGGCGGATAGAAAGCTCGTGAACTTCCTTATCCGACATTTCGGATAAATACAATTATCAACAATTGGTAGTAAAGGTAAATTTGCCACGGACTCTGGTCAGTCTACGCAGCAAGATGGCGTCGAAGAATATCCGCCTCTCAGATGGGCGTGGCTTTTACAAAACAAAAACTTGTACTGATTGGTTAAATTAAAATTTAGGCCAATCAAAAGGTAGATTAATTTTAGTATTTTCATTCTAGACAGCTGTGCAATAGTAGTGCATATTCTGTTTCCGGAGATGTTGTTTCGGTTGTGGGGGAGAGGTGTGTCTGGTACGACTTGGGGGAAATGGCTCATCAGAGTTTGGAACCTCCAAAGTACATAAGTGCCTCTCGTGTAAAAGAGGTTCTTAAGTATGAAGACCTCATTCCGGTCATTGAACAGGCCTTAGTCAATTTTTCCGCCCGTAGAAGCGGCGGAGTTATTCAGCCTGTGCGCACAGCCGTTGAGGTCGAAAACCGCGGGTAAGGTAACATACACTTATGTCTTATGACTGAAGAACATATTTGGAAACTAAATTTCTGGAAACACCTATCACTGATAAGATTTTTGTAAGTTATTCGTAGGATTCTGTGACGGGGCTCATTCTTTTCGTTTTTTTAGCATTAATTTGGTCATCAACGGAGGGCAGGGACTGGGGAGGTGGAACAGGGCCCTGCCAAAAAGTGTAGATATGGATGTTAATTGTTGAAAAAATTCTCAGCGTGTCCCACGAAACTGCAGCTTTTCCACATTTCTCTTTTCCAAGGCTCTAGCCCTTTTCCATTGTTTTCAAGTAGTATTAAAGCCATGTTTTGTACCTGCCAAAACCGGTTATCCTGTTTATTCCAGCACCCCTTGCCCCACCTATGGACATCCTGACATGACCTTTATTGCAAGCTCTAACCACAGCACCTCCAAATGAGAAAATATTAAGGTTTCTAGACCCCTAGAGCCATTTAACTGGTTAGAGTCTATGAAATAAATTATTCAGGCCAGTTATTTTGAGATTGACTGAGCACTTACCAGTTTTTAGAGTTAATTAGGATAATTTTGAGGTCTTTATCATCCTGCAGATTTTTTCTTGTGATGCCAGCCTATTCAGCTAAAGACAATGCTCTTGCTGTAAAATTGGTCACAGGTTTTCCAGAAAATGAGAAACAGGGCCTACCTTCATTCTTAAGCAATGTTATGGTATTAGATCCCAAGAATGGTTTGTTACAAGCGGTCAGTAATGTCAGTTTTGATAATTTTGTCAACTAATGTAACCATTTGTCATATCAATTGATTATAGAGGCTGAATGTAGACAATGCATGCTGCAAAATCCTTTAATCATTTTTTTGGCTTCTCCAAATATTAACTAGAAACCTGCTTTCATGTTAGTTATTCAAAATTACTGGTCCTATAGGAGATTTCTTAGTGTATTTCTTGGGGTTTCTTTGGTCAAAAATACTGCTAAATTCAGTTGTACTTCATGTAAATTTACTGCATTATGGTCAATTGGATTGAGGCTAAGAGCTATCATTAGGGAAATCAGTAGCTCAAGGCCTTGATCCAATCATCCATTTTAATCAAAATGCTACTGAAGGTCAACTTCAAATTTTGACTGAATTATATTGAATCATTTAAAGATTATGGATGGCATTCCAATCACAGACATGCGGACTGCAGCAGCATCTGCTGTTGCAACTAAGGTGTGTTTTTGCATCTACTGAGTCTAATGTATTAAATTTAGTGCAGTGATTTATTGTCAACTCCACATTAGATGCTTTTAATGATAGTTGATCCCTGCAGGAGGCTTGTTACATCTCAATCACACATATTTACCCTTTAACTCCAAGATCAAATTTGTAATTCTCCTTGCTTTCAACCATATCATTCTTAAAATGTTAGTTCGGAGAATTTAGTATTGGATTAGCTAATTATCCTCAAATTGATAATTTTCTTTATTCTTATCTCTTATCTGGTTGATATTGTATTGATATTGTAAAGAGAAATTCTGTCTTGGTCACTCATGGGAGTTAAAGGGTTAAGACCCAGCCAGTCCTAACAAGATATATCTGTAGCTCAGTTGCATATTATCAGTTAGTATAGAGCATTCAGTGTTGTGCTGGGGTCTAAGTTCTCATAAAGGATCCAGATTTGTCCTTGTTAGTGCTCTTTCCAAATTTGTCATATTTTTTTTTGTCAAAAAGGCTGTGGTAACTGTAATTGACTCCTGTTCCTAAGCATCATGTGATTAACATTGAATCAACTCTTACAATTAATTTTTCCTGAAGATGTGAATGTTTCATTTGTACTTGTATTTCAGTTCCTTGCTTCTGAGAGTGCTGAAGTTTTGTGTATTTTGGGGTCAGGTGCTCAGGCTAGAAGTCATGTTGAGGCCCTCAAGTTTGTGAAACCCTTCACTGAGGTAATAATTTACAGTTATACCAATATGATATATTGAATATAAAAGTGATCTTTGCAGTAGTGAACACTATAAGTAGTGGTGAAGTAAGTAGTGTTTATTTCTGCATAGATTGCTTTCATATTCATTTCTTACCTACATACTTTACATACTTTATTAACGTGGCTGACACTTAGCTATATAAAGCTAGTTTACAGGTCAGTCATGGAAGAAAAGATAAATAAATAAACCTAGAAGCTATACAAAAGTGTTTAAAATGATGTAGTATTATGGAACTGCATAAAATTATAGAAGTATTAAACTTATAAAAACTAGGTTAAATTGCAAATAAGGTCTATAAACTTACAACTATATAAAAAGTGCTTAAAATGATATAGTATATGGAGCTACATAAAACTAAAAAAAAACTAAGTTAAATGGCAAATAAGGGACCATAAACTTGCAAGGTCGAGCTCCTTGAGTCCATGTTTAAAACTGTGGTAATCATTGATATTTCTTAAATTATTAGGAATAGTGTTCCATAGTTAGGTAGGTCCCATACTTTGTTGAATACACATTATGTACGTTCACAGTCATGAATATGTTTAATTATATCTGATGTAGCGTGGAATTGATCTATATGTTTGTCACTACTGAATGTTTTTATGTATTAGATTTCAAATGAAACTTGTCATTTTTCAAGGTCAGAATATGGAGTAGAACCTTTGTTAATGCTCAAAAGCTTGCAGATGAGATTGGTGCCAAAGCATGTGCTACAGTCGAAGAAGCAGTCACAGGGGCTGATGTCATAGTCACTGCTACCTTGGCAACAGAACCTGTTCTGTTTGGAAAGTGGGTCAAGCCTGGAGCACTGATAAACTGTGAGTGGCCTAATTAGGATTAATTTTTATCATCATTATCAGGAACTTTGGGAGCAAGCATGCAGATGACAGCCAGTCATGGGACAAAATTTGTGTGGTAAATTTTGGGTTTAATAGGCTTAAGTTTGGCCTGGTAAACACACTGACTGTAGATGCATAGATCTTTACACTTCTAGTCACTTCATGTGTAATTATCAATTTCAGTATCCTAGCAACTGAGCACCAAGGGGAGGTGTAGGTGTGTAGTTGCTTAGATACTGACACTGATCCCTTCGTGCCATGCAAACAGAGAAAACACCAGCACTTATGGACAAAAATTGGTTTTGATCTAATATTACTGTTTGCCATCGTTGATTAAACTACCTTTTTAGTTCATAATGGGGAAGATTCCTCTTCTTTGTATACTAATTGATTTTAAACATTTGCTAATTTAAACTACCAGCTCCAAAATAAAATTTTCTAATAACACTCATAATGATCATAAGCTTCCCACAGACCTAATATGTATATTGCTTTCAAATCAAAATCTCAAAATCAGGAATTGTGACTCTTTTTTCACACAGCTGTCGGTGCACCCCGCCCAACATGGCGAGAAATAGATGATGAAACTATGCACAATAGCTTTATAGTGGCGGACAGCATTGAGGCAGCTTCTAAGGAAGCTGGGGATGTGATCCTCTCCAAGGTTAGTCTGTCAGAATTTCTGTAGAGAAACTTTGCAAAATATGTCCCTATGTAAGCCTTGTGGCTTTGGTGGCTCATTATTCTTTGAGTTATTGGCATTCCATGGAATTTATTCTTTGTTCTTTTGATAACTAGGCAACAGTGGCTGGGGAGATTGGTGATGTTATTTCAGGAAAATTGGCTGTTCCTGAAGGAAAAACACGGATCTTTAAGTCTTTAGGTAAGCTGTTGTGAGCTGTAGAAGAGTCAGAGGTGAAGTATTCACAAATCAACAGGGTGGGAGCAGGTGCCAACCCATACTCACTCACAATTTAAGTTAGAGAAGCTGGTGAACACTGTGCAAGTGTAAAATGATCAGCAAAGAACTGTCAACACTACTTAGTTATTGTTAGTTATACCTTGAAACCTTGAAACTGATTCACATGGTAGTTTCAGTGAGTTAAAATTAGTGATACTGATGAAAACGTTGAACTTTTTTCATAAACTACTGGAACATCTGTTTTTTAGGTATGGCACTGGAAGATGTTGTATCTGCTAAGTTGGTGTTGAGTAAACTTGGTGGATTAGGTGGTACACCTCTTGATGTGCTTTAGCCAATGATAATTTTATCATTGTTTTCTGGGAAAGATGCCTGGGAGAGAAAAGACTGATATATTTTAAATGTGCCAAAGGCTAAGTGAATATCGTTGAATACCCCCAATACTAAGTATTATTGAATAAATGTATATCTCTCATACACCACTTTTTAAGATGAAATAAAAGGTGGGCTCTTCAAGGGCTTATATTTAAGCTATAGGAAGTCATTTACCTTTCGTTTTCTTTCCTGTTTTCATTCAATGACTAATGACGAGTGCAACGAGGCACTTACCCCTGCCGGGCAACCTTCCCCCTTCCTTTCCCTCCCCTACCCCTCCCCACTTCCACCATCTAAGTACCCACAAAATGGTTTTGACATCGAACCAGCTGGGAAGGCACAACAGCCCAAGACTTCTAGTGACCTTGTATTAGGTTTGTTTTATGCCAGTCCCAATTGTGGTTAACGCACTCATTTTCCAACTTGTTTGAAAAAATACGTAGTTTTATTTTACCACACATTCCACATATTTTACAGACAAAGTTAATACAGTACAACAGGAGGAAATTACGCCGTCCAAACTTATGTTACGAAAAACTACTTTTTTTGTCGTGTAGCTTGATAATTTGCTTCTCACTATTATAATACTAAAAACTACTTTCAGTGGTCTGCCAACACAGAAAAAGAGACAAGTTATTGTTGCTAATAATGTCGGTCACGTGGGATTTGCCGTCAGTTCTCGATGACTTCTTTTTTCTCAGGTTGAGACATTTGCACTGACTTGCAGTAGTCGATCTTCCATGTCCTGTCCCTGTGACAGAAAAGGAACGTGAAATTCGGTTAGATTGCTACTATTACGCACCGATAAATTTTCAGTTCCATTTCCGCTGATAAAAATCTAAGATTCTATTGGTTTAGCCCTATTGCTCCGCGTGATTGGTCGAGACAATTTGCAGGACCCTCTCAACCAATCAGATGGAAAACCAATTGTGATTTGCAGGGGCTTCAAATGGTACCTTGAAAAATTGTGGGTCTCACCAACTTTTTATTCGATTTCGAATAGTCGAAATCTCGAAAGCCTTTTCCATGGATCTCAAGTTCTCATATTTCTCCCAGACCTCTGTCAAAGGATGGCTGGATTAGCCCAGAGTTGTCGTCGGGAGCGAAGAAAGTCGTGATAGCGTTACAGTTTGAAAATAATGCATTGTAGAGGCTGATGTATCAACAAAACGAACTTAAATAGGGAATCCAATTAAAAGGAGTCATGAGGCCTAAATGTTTAGTCGCTCTCGTATTTTCGAACCGGGATCTCGGTGTCTCTTGAGTTTCGGGTTTCACCATTGGCCACCTTGCTTCTGTATTCTCGCGCTTCAGGCAGTTTGCTTTTTTTCCCGTCTTCTTTGAGTACGTACTTTACTTTAGGTGTGATATTTACAATTGAAATGGGGTCCACATGGTGTGAACCAGTTAGTAGTTTAGTAAGTGTTCTAACCTCTTGTAATAGTGAAAGCAGCTGGAAATGCCAGTGATATAATCTCGCTTGTCTCTATCGACCTTAAACTCTAAGTTTTCTCCGGCCTTGTTCAGTGTGGGGGACTGGTGACAAGCTTCATGGTCAAATCTTCTGTCATTGCAACATTTAAACTTGTAGCGCCGATCTCCCACTGGAAAATATTCGGCTTTCACACCTATTTATGAAAAATAAACCAAAATAATACACAGTTAATAATTATAATAATGATAATTTTTCTTCTAACAATACGACGTTCATTTGCACCCTTGAAACTTCTCCCCCAGGCAACCCCGTTCCGGCTGAGTTATTGCTTTGTAGTAAGTGTTTCGCTTCACGTTGGGTAACGGTGTAAGACTCTGTCTAGTTTGTGAGAGCAGTAATTGTCATGTTTCATAGGAAAATATCGACAACCATTCCGAGAGGTCTACGAAGCGGCCTTACCTGCTACGAAACCATGATTCGGACAGTTAAAAAAGATTCCATCTCTTACGTCATTGGCGAAATTGTGTTCCCAGAAGCAGTGTTCATAAGAGGCCTCGTTATACCCACAACCGAACGCCCAGATACGGTCATGATGGCATTCACTGTAGTCGCTCTTCATGTAGATCAATGTCTGGCCTGAAATATCGAAATGATAGTAATGAGATACTTGTAGCAACTATTTAATCATTAGATATCGTGTATATGATTATGGTCAGAATATAAACTTAGCTAGGGGAAACAAGAATTTCAGCTGGCTCGATGATCTTCAATCAGCGACACCTGGCGATGGTTTTTGCGTATCCTTTGCGAGCCAGAAACTTCCTAGACAGTCGTTAACGCTCTTCGTTGTACTCCGTTGACAACTTTTCTTTCTTCATTCTCTTTTTCTTTACATTTTTATTACTACATTATCGTTATTGCTACTATTTTTATCGCCTTGCGTTCGCACTCGCCAAATCCCTCGCGGCTGTTATATCTAGATCTCTCGCGCAAAAGTTTATGATCTGTAAGAAAATAAGAGCTCTTTAAACATGCTATTTTCTTGTAATTTTGGAGAAGGGATTACTTACCATTCCAACTGCAAAAGGACTAGATCTGACCCTAATGCGCATGCGTAAATGCCTTACCTTTTGGACACTCGAAATCAAGAGATTTTGTCCACTCATTTGCCCACTGGACACCGTCTGGCCTTGATGAAGAACAAGGCACAGAAGTAGCTGGTGTTGGTGGCGGCGGTGGATGTGTGTGATGCGGCGGGTAAGGTCGACGCGATGGGTACCGACGTCTACGATATCCTTTTCTGTATCTAAACCTCCATCTCCAGCCGTGTGGATCGTTTTCGGGTCCAGGTTTCTTTTTGTCGTCTCCAGGGGCATTGGCAACCTTAGGATCTATGTCGAGAAGTAAGGAGCCTTCTGGGCTCTTTTTGACGTCAGTCCCTTTGCAACATACGCAGACGAGCCCCAGGACCACGACTAGTGTTAACAAAATAGCTCCGCGCATGATTTTATCCTGAAAATCGTAAATTTGACTGATCAGTGAAGAAAACTACATTTTCACTGCTCTCATTCAGTTTTGGCCTCAGAGGTTTAGCTGAGCTAAGTGCCCTAAAGGCATGGGAGTGAACGAATTTACATTGAGATCGACGTCGGTCGATGTCGCTCTGCGCCCCTCAGCGCGAGTTCGACGCTACTCTACGTCGAAAAACATTTTCAGATCTTTACTTTGCCCAGATTTCGAGATGTTTGTGAGTGGATAGGGCTCTGAATGCATGGATATCGATATTTGCATATTTTTCATTAGTCTTACGCGCGCAGACAATTTTCATAAGTAACCTAAAGAATGATCTGTCAAGTCAAGATAAACACACCGAACCCATTTAAAGTTCATTTGAATTTAAATAGCAGCAATATTAAACTTCTGACAAATGCCTGACGGGAATTTAAGTGCATTCCTACGAAGGTTAGCTGGATCGTTTCTGCTTCACTGTTCTAATTTCTCTGAGAATTTAATTTTGTTTCCTTTCTCAAATTCACGCTGCATGAATAGAAATCTCTCCGGTGTGAAACTATTTAAAACTGATGCACAGCATGGCAGAGCTCTTTTTAAATTATTGTTTAACCAAAGTATGCTACGATTAAAAAAACAACATACCGATGTTGAAGAGTTAGACTTCATCACGAATTGAATTCGCGGCCATTTTTGAGCATTAGATATAACGTAGAAAGGAAGGGAGTTTTGAACTCTTTGAGACAGAGTGGCTTTCCAGCCTGTCTCTGACAAACTTAAGTTTACTCAAACATTTTATAATGAATAGAAGTTCAAGAATTTAATACTTGGAAAGACAAAAATTTGAAATGATTTATAGCTTTGTGTTACCTGTATTTTTTGCAATTTACCTTAGTGGAGAAACGAATTACAACACGTCTTAGAATGGAATCTAGATTTAGGACTATACATTCATGAAAATAGTGTTAGATGCTTGTAAGTGTCGTGGAATTTCAATTATTTATTTCCCTTTAAATCTTAGATCTTGATCCCTCGACAGTAAAAGACGATGAATTTGTCATTTCTGGGGTGCCCTCAATCGCAAAATTTAAGACTCCACGCAAAATGAACGAGATAAAGCTACAAATAAACCATTCTGGATGCCAAGAACACACCGCGCGCATCAGACAGAACTGTTGTACTCTCAGGGGACAGAAGAATGAATGTTAGAGGGCAGTTTAAAATACGATTTCTTTTTTCTTTAGCATTTTTTTACGTCATCCCAAGATTATATTAATTGCTTGTGGCTAGGATATTTCAACTCCACATCCATTTAAAAAAGGTACCAGTCGAGAGTAGATTAAAACTGAGGTGACACACCTTACTGATGGAAACACATGCAGAAGTGCGGCAAACTCTGCTCGAGTGTTGGCAAAAAACGACGGAGCTGCACCACCAGATAGAAATTGGTAAAGATAAAAAGTGATCAGAGCCTTTCAGAGGTTTAAACTTACCTTTCTCAACTAGATACCGAAGCAGTGTACGAAACTGCGATGTTCGAGATCCTTTATAAATCTGACTTAGCGACAGATCCAGGCTTCACCAGATCAGAAGATTGCGGCGACCGCCTACGTAATTGTGTAATAGTTTACGTATCTCTATGGTACAAATATTGATTTGAAATGTTTTTAAAGCAAACATGCGCTATATACCTTATAATTACTTTTCTCTTTTAAAAGTGCCAGGCCTTGGGGTCACTTGTTTAACCAATGGATTTTCACTCAAAAGTGTTTTCTTTTTATGAAAACTTTTTAAAAAATTTTTTCGCAATTTTTCAGTTACCTTTCAATTGAATTGACAAAAATAAAGATAAACGTGCCGACAAATATGTGTTAGAAAAAGAGAAATCTGAAAAATCTACTGCAACTTGGTTCTTGCAGTTCTTGATTAATTCGCTTTTTGATTAAGCAAGAGAATTACACTCCCTTGTAAGAGGCCGTTTGCCTTTCATGCTATTCAGGTAGTTTTTTTGTTTCTACTGCTGAACCTTTAACTGCATGACACCTTAACATCAGTATGCATATTCTCCATACTGTCCTCCATACATTACCTAAGGTGTGAGCAAGGAGAATTTGTTTGACAATCAGGAACTTCCTAGGCTTAATATGTGATTCATGAGTGACATTGTAAGGAGAAACTAGATGCTACGGTTAATGAGCTTTCATTGACATTTCCCACTTCCCTGATTGGTCATTACTAATGATTGCATTGGTATTTAGTTTAATGAAACTATGCTCAGTCCTGATACCAAAAAGAATTCAAATCGGATGAGTGTGTCGTAGAAAAAATTTTGGTAACACGAGTGCAAAGTTGTAGCACGAGTCCAAATTACAAATGTCTGTCTTGAATTTATGTGATCTTTTTCTTTGTAAATTATTAATTAGTAATAACATGAATTGAGTGCAATTTGGTGTAAATAAACAGCCCATGCAGTTTTGTTGTGCTTGAAAAATTTACTGGTGCCTATTTAAACCAAATTGCTTTTGAATTTATATCAGTACCTATACTAACAGCAGAACAAATTAAAATAAAATTACCCAACTAAATGACAAGCGGCTTTTATGTAAATTATATGAGAATGTAATTGAGAAATATGACTCATCTGGCTTATTCTAATTACGACTTTCATGATCGACAGCATCATCCATGTTTTGACGACTGGTAAAACTTCCTTAGTCTTAAGTTGTAATGTATTTGACCATTCTGCGTTTGGAAGCAAAAAGAACCTCTTTATTTTTAATATTCGGCTTTAATCTGATCCACAATACACGAGAAATTCCTTCTTTTTGTCTTGTTTTTATGTAAATATATCAATGACCACCTTTTTTCTCCTTTTCGTTTATTTTTACCTTGTTTTATTCTCGCGGCCAATCTATGATGAAAATAAAGACTTGTAACACGGGGAATGATATCACAAAAGGAAAGATTGGAATCACATCGAGTAATATCAAGGCATTATTATTCATATCCTCTACTTTCAGCTCTTATAAGCTCTCGGCATTACATAATAGCGACAAGCTGCCAGCTTTAGTAAAATAACTGAAAATTAAAATTTGTTTCAAAAGTCAGTTTATATGCCAAATGTCTGGTATATCACATCCCTTACTTAGAAAGTCTCGTGAATTATTACCTGTAATACGTAGAGTGCAAGCACTCACGCAATTTTGTGACGTCTAAAGAAAACATATGATGTTCACAACTGAATGCCTTACCTCATTGTGTATTAAAAACGAATTAATTAAGAAAGCGTTTCAACCAGCTGGTTATGTGCTAAGATTAGTTTATTTAGTTTGAGATCGGCAGGGAGACCGGCAGTTAACCGCGGAATTTTTCATACAAACGATCACTTGAAGTCCAGAAAATGATCTATAACTCAGTGAAGAATGATAAATATTGAAGTGCCATCCACTTCAGGGCTCATCGTGAACGTCGCCTTGAACGTCTTTTCTGCATTTACAGCGATCGTTTTCAATAGCATAACGATACAAGTTATAAAGAAAACTTCCTCTTTACCAAATCCTTTGAAAATATTACTGTTGAGTCTTGCCCTTTCTGATCTTGCTGTTGGTTTAGTCGCTCAACCATTGTGGATTGTAAACATTTTGAGGAAAAAGGATACCGAAGTGTTATGGATCATCCAATCTGCACTGGCCAACGCTTCGTTCCTAGGTATCATGGCCCTGAGCGTGGATCGATTTCTAGCAGTTCATCTTCATCTCAGATATCGGGAACTTGTGACTTACAAGCGCGTTCTTCGTCTGGCAATCTTAACATGGGTGCTTAGTGCCCTCCTTTCATTCATTTGTTATTTGGTCACTAAAAATTTGAACCCGTTTATGAACATCACAATCATCGTCTGGAGTCTTTGCCTAATTTTCTTGACTGTTATCAGCTGCAGACTTTACTTTGCAGTAAGAGTCCATACAAAGCAGATTCAAGCTTCACAGTTAAATCAAACAGCACTGAGTGATGAACTGGCAAATGCCTTTAGGCTGAGGAAATCCTCAGTAAGCTCATTTTATGTAAATTTTGTGTTTTTAGTTTGTTATTTGCCATTCTTTTGTAGTCTTATTACCGGGATTTTCTTCAAGAAGGCAGCCTTTACGAACAGCCAAATTTGGCAGGAACTGTTTCTTTTGTCTCGAACACTAATGTTTATAAATTCTTGCCTAAATCCTGTTATTTATTGCTGGAGAATGAGAGACATCCGACACGCTATCAAGGACATACTGAGAAATACATGTACATACAAAAGATAGAAGACTTAATTGCGGATAACCAAGGCAGAACATTGCAATTACTTACCAGTTCATCTAGATCTACATAAGATCTTCTTTAAGTTTTTCTTCTCTCTTTTTTTTTTCTAGTGCGAGCTCAAATAACTCTTTTACTTTGAAAAGGTCTCATTTTCATCTAATAACAAATGAAAAGTACAGAGAGAGCGGATTAAAAAGGCTCGAAGCACGACTCTTGATCGAGTGCGTGTGTAACGGAAAACTTTTTGTCATTGAGACAGGATATAATTTATAGTTGTTCTGATCAGAACAGTAAGTGTGGAAATGATAGATTGAACTGGTGAGAATTTAAGGTCTATAACTTAAGTATGAACTGTAGTGTTTAGCCTCCATTGACGACTTTTTGTTAAGTTCTTTTAGTTACAACCACAAATGGATCTAAAAAAGCCTCGTTGATTACAAATGATATTTAATAGAAATACTACGCTTGTGTTCTGTAACTCAAGGTCTACAACGGTATTTTCTCTGTGTTTTTCAAAATTACCACTCTCTTCTTTAATGTGGTTTTCTAGATGTAATCAACTAAAAGTCAGGTTTTTCTGATCCACCGTGAGTGGATCAGAAAAACGTGACTTTTTGCAAGCTGTTTTGTTCACATGTAAAGTAATGATTCCTGAGCTTTTCATGATTCACTGGTGTGTTTACTGGACCGGCTTTCAATGGCCTACTAGTTCTTCTTAGACTTCTTGTATTTCAGTGTGCAACTTTTCACCTTCCAGCGGCGATAACTGAAGATGCAAAATAGTTTAAAACAGTAACATCAGACAACTAACACACTGGCATCAGACGCTGCGGTTTATAATTACTGGAAAACGGGTCATATTGCATTACTCCCCCCCATGGTCTCTACCCCTCCTTTAAAATGCTCTTTCTTGTCTCAAGGGGGCGTATATTGGAGAGATTTGAGTTTTTCAAGTCAAACGTCCGATGGGAATATTTTTTCCTTAGCATGATCGAAACTAACCCTCATTTGTCTTTCCCTATTTTGAGCTTTCACTTAAGTCTGTTTCAAATAGCTAAGAGCTTTTCACTTACTTGATATGGAAATCACTTTTGATTCCTGACAAATAAAATCTTCTTTTGCTCCGAAACACAAAAATTCCGTAAGGGTCGTTTAAATACCCACTCCACTTGCATTTCTTTTTTGTGTAGTTTGGGTTATGAGAGCACTGGAATTTGAAGCGGTGGTCCTTGTAAATGTTATTGTAAATGCTGCTAATACCTTAAAAGTAAATGAGAAACGCATCAAGATTGTAATAACAGGTAAACAAAACGAACAAGAAATTAAATTGAAAGCGACCTTGGCAGCAATAAACAGTACTTAGGCAGCAACGAAAAGAACGCCTGAAAAAAATTCAGGCCTGTACGGAATTTAAACCCATGACCTGTACGATACTAGTGTATTGCTCTACCAACTGAGCTAACAGTTATGTAAGTTCTTAATAAACTCATGAAGTGATGAATCAATCATTGTAAATATATTAAAGTCATACATATGAACTTTGGTTTTGAGAAACGAAATTGAAGGCGATCCTGGTCAGACAAACCGGCAGTGCTTTGTTTGGGGACAGATCGTGACTGAGCATCGTAGTGGGATTTACCGGCGAGTAATATTGAAAACGAAAATGAAGGGATTTATCAGTAAAACTGAGACAAAAAGCATTTATATTTCCCTTTATGACCCTATAATCACCTCAGCATACTTATTTAATGCGACGATCGGAGACAATTTTGTACTCTGATTGATTGAGAACGTGGCGGGAGTTTTCTGGACCAATCAGAGAGTTTCGTAAGGGCAGAACCATGACAAAGTGTGATTACTTTCACCACTCTGAAAATTGCGCTTGAACTAAAAATTCTCTCGTACCCGTTACGAAACCATTGTAAGGACACTCATACTCAAAAGATACTTGAAAAGAAGTGACATAATTCGGCCACTTTGTGACGGGAATTTAAGCCCATTTCTACGACGGTTAGCTGGATCGTTTCTGCTTCACTGCTCTAATTTTCTGATAACTTAATTTTATAAACTGTTTCAAATTCATGCTGCATGAAAAGGAATCTCTCCGGTGTGAAACTATTTAAAACTGATGCACAGCTTTACAGAGCTCTTTTTAAATTATTATTTAAGCAAGGTATGCTACGATTAAAAAAAACAACATACCGATGTTGAAGAGTTAGACTTCATCACAAACTGAATTCGCGGCCATTTTTGAGCATTAGATATAACGTAGAAAGGAAGGGAGTTTTGAACTCTTCGAGACAGAGTGGCTTTCCAGCCTGTCTCTGACAAACTTAAGTTTACTCAAACATTTTGTAATGAGTAGAAGTTCAAGAATTTAATACTTGGAAAGACAAAAATTTGAAATGATTTATAGCTTTGTGTTACCTGAATTTTTTGCAATTTACCTCAGTGGAGAAACGAATTACAACACGTCTTAGAATGGAATCTAGATTTAGGACTATACATTCATGAAAATAGTGTTAGATGCTTATAAATGTCGTGGAATTGCAATTATTTATTTTCCCTTTAAATCTTAGATCTTGATCCCTCGACAGGAGAAGACGATTAATTTATCATTTCTGGGGTGCCCTCAATCGCAAAATTTAAGACTCCACGCAAAATGAACGAGATAAAGCTGCAAATAAACCATTCTGGATGCCAAGAACATACCGCGCGCATCAGACAGAACTGTTGTACTCTCAGGGGACAGAGGAATGAATGTTAGAGGGCAGAGTTTAAAATACGATTTCTTTTTTCTTTAGCATTTTTTTACGTCATCCCAAGATTATATTAATTGCTTGTGGCTAGGACATTTCAGCTCCACATCCATTTAAAAAAGGTACCAGTCGAGAGTAGATTAAAACTGAGGTGACACACCTTACTGATGGAAACACATGCAGAAGTGCGGTAAACTCTGCTCGAGTGTTGGCGAAAAACGACAGAGCTGCACCACAAGATTAAAATTGGTAAAGGTAAAAAGTGATCAGAGCCTTTCAAACTGAACCCTTCAACTACACCTTAACATCAGTATGTATATTCTCCATACTGTCTTTCATACTTTCCCTAAGGCGCTAACGAGTAGAATTTTTTTAACAATCAAGAACTTCCTAGGTTGGTGATCATTTCCTTTACTCTCGTGACCTTAATGCGTGATTTATGAGTGACATTGTAAGGAGAAACTAGATGCTACGGTTAATGAGCTTTCATTGACATTTTCCACTTCCCTGATTGGTCATTACTAATGACTGCATTGGTATTTAGTTTAATGAAACTGCTCAGTCCTGATACGAAAAAGAAGTCAAATCGGGTGAGTGTGTCGTAGGAAAAAATTTGTCACTGAAAGAAGAGAAAGAGGATTTCCATAGATATTTGTCAACTTACGAGGAGTTGTCCATAAAGTGCGATAAAGAGTTGTTCATCTAAACCCTCCCCCACCCCAACATTGACCCTGACTTGTTAATAGTTGACTATTGTGGGGTTAGGAGAGGCGTAGATGCGCAGTTGCACAGAGACTGACATTAATCCGTTCAATTTTTATCCTGATAATACATGAAAGAATCACGCGCCTCTGATTGGCTGAAACGAGCGCAATTTTCAAGTAACACGAGTGCAAAGTTGTAGCACGAGTGCAAATTACAAATGACGCGCGCGCTCATAAAATTTCGTCTGTCTTGATTTTATGTGATCTTTTTATATGTAAATTATTAATGAGTAATAATATGAATTGAGTGCAATTTGGTGTAAATAAACAGCCCATGCAGTTTTGTTGTGTTTGAAAAATTTACTGGTGCCTATTTAAACCAAATTTCTTTTGAATTCACATCAGTACCTATACTAACAGCAAAACAAATTTAAAGAAAATTACCCAAATAAATGACAAGCGGCTTTTATGATATGTAAATTATATGGGAATGAAATTGGGAAATACGACTCATCTGACTTATTCTAATTACGACTTTCATGATCGATAGCATCATTCATGTTTTGACGACTGTTAAAACTTCCTTAGTCTTAAGTTGTAATGTATTTGACTAGTATGCGTTTGGAAGCCAGAAGAACCGCTTTATTTTTAACATTCGGCTTTAATCTGATCCGCAATACATGATAAATTCCTTCTTTTTGTTTTGTTTTGTTTTGTTTTTTTTCACTTTTTCAACAACTTTTTTTTTGTATGTAAATATATCAATGACCACCTTTTTTTCTCCTTTTCGTTTATTTTTACCTTGCTTCATTCTCGCGGCCAATCTATGATGAAAATAAAGACTTGTAACACGGGGGATGATATCACAAAATTAAAGATTGAAATCACATCGAGTAATATCAAGGCATTATTATTCATATCCTATATTGTCAGCTCTTATAAGCTTTTGGCGTTACATACTAGCATGTACAAGCTGCCAGCTTTAATAAAAGTTTTGAAAATTGAAATTTTTTTTAAAAGTCAGTTTACATTCCAAATGTCTGGTATATCACATCCCTAACTTAGAAAGTCTCATGAATTATTACCTGTAATACGTAGGGTGCAAGCACTCACGTAGTTTTGTGACGACTAAAGAAAACAGATGATGTTTACCACAGAATGCTTTACCTCATTATGTATTAAAAGCGGATTTATTAAGAAAGCGTTTCAACCATCTGGTTATGTGCTAAGATTAGTTTATTTAGTTTGAGATCGGCAGGGAGACCGGCAGTTAACCGCGGAATTTTTCATACAAACGATCACTTGAAGTCCAGAAAATTATCTATAACTCAGTGAAGAATGGCAGATATTGAAGTGCCATCCACCTCAGGGTACATCGTGAACGTCGTCTTGAACGTCTTTTCTGCATTAACAGCCATCGTTTTCAACAGCATAACGATACAAGCTATAAGGAAAACTTCCTCTTTACCAAATCCTTTGAAAATATTACTGTTGAGTCTTGCCTATTCTGATCTTGCTGTTGGTTTAGTCGCTCAACCATTATGGATTGTTACCCTTTCGAGGGAAGAGGACACCGAAGTGTTATGCATCATCCAATATGCACTCGCCAACGCTTCTTTCCTCGGTATTATGGCCCTGAACGTGGACCGATTCTTAGCAGTTCATCTTCATCTCAGATATCGGGAACTTGTGACTTACAAGCGCGTTCTTAGTCTGGCAATCTTAACATGGGTGTTTAGTGCCCTCCTTTCATCCATTTGTCGTTGGATCACTGAAGATTTGAGCGAGTTTATGAACATCACAATCATCGTCTGGAGTCTTTGCCTAATTTTCTTGACTGTTATCAGCTGCAGACTTTACTTTGCAGTAAGAGTCCATACAAAGCAGATTCAAGCTTTACAGTTAAAGCAAACAGCACTGAGTGATGAAGTGGCAAATGCCTCTAGGCTGAGGAAATCCGCGGTAAGCTCATTTTATGTAAATTTTGTGTTTTTAGTTTGTTTTTTGCCATTCTATTGTAGTCTTATCAGGAAATTCTTCAAGTCGGAAGCCTTTGTGAACAGCCAAATTTGGCAGGAACTGTTTCTTTTGTCTCGAACACTAATGTTTATGAATTCTTGCCTAAATCCTGTTATTTATTGCTGGAGAATGAGAGACATCCGACACGCTATCAAGGACATACTGAGAAATACATGTACACACTAAAGATAGAAGACTTAGTTGCGGATAACCAAGGCAGAACATTGCAATTACTTACCAGTTCATCTAGATCTACATAATATCTTCTTTAAGTTTTTTTTCCTTTTTTTTTTTTTCTCTTGTGCGAGCTCAAAATAACCCTTTCACTTTAAAAAGGTCTCATACTTATCTAATAACAAATGAAAAGTACAGAAAGAGCGGATTAAAAAAGCTCGAAGCACGACTCTTGATCGAGTGCGTGTGTAGCGGAAAACGTTTTTTCATTGAGACAGGATATAATTTATATTTGTTCTGATCAGAACAGTAAGTGTTAAAATGATAGATTGAACTGGCGAGAATTGAAGGTCTATAACTTAAGTATGAACTGTAGTGTTTAGCCTCCATTGACGACTTTTTGTTAAGTTCTGCTAGTTACAACCACAAATGGATCTAGAAAAGCCTCGTTGATTACAAATGATATTTAATAGAAATACTACGCTTGTGTCCTGTAACCCAAGGTCTACAAGTATTTTCTCTGTGTTTATCAAAATTACTCCTCTATCCGCTATTCTTTAATGTAGTTTTTCTAGATGTAATCAACTAAAAGTCAGGTGAAGTGACTTTTTGCAAGCTGTTTTGTTCACATGTAAAGTAATGATTCTTGAGCTTTTCATGATCCACGGTGTTTTTACTGGACCGGCTTTCAATGGCTTATCAGTTCTTCTTAGACTTCTTGTATTTCAGTGTGCAACATTTCACCTTCCAGCGGCGATAACTGAAGATGCAAAATAGTTTAAAACATTAACATCATACACCCAACACACTGGCATCAGACGCTGCGGTTTATGAATAATGGCAAACGGGTCATATTGCATTCCCCCTCCCCTCTTCCCATGGTCTCTACCCCTCCTTTAAAATAGTCACCTCTTTCTTTTCTCAAGGGGGCGTATATTGGAGAGATTTGAGTTTTTCAAGTCAAACATCCGATGGGAATATTTTTTCCTTAGGATGATCGAAACTAACCCTCATTTGTCTTTCCCTATTTTGAGCTTTCACTTAAGTCTGTCTCAAATAGCTAAGAGCTTTTCACTTACTTGAAATGGAAATCACTTTTGATTCCTGACAAATAAAATCTTCTTTTGCTCCGAAACACCAAAATTCCGTAAGGGTCGTTCAAATACCCACTCCACTTGCATTTCTTTTTTGTGTAGTTTGGGTTATGAGAGCACTGAAATTTGAAGCGGCGGTCCTTGTAAATGTTATAATTGTAAATGCTGCTAATACCTTAAAAGTAAATGAGAAACGCATCAAGATTGTAATAACAGATAAACAAAACGAACAAGAAATTAAATTGAAAGCGACCTTGGCAGCAATAAACACTACTTAGGCAGCAACGAAAAGAACGCCTGAAAAAAATTCAGGCCTGTATGGAATTTAAACCCATGACCTGTGCGATACTAGTGCAGTGCTCTACCAACTGAGCTAACAGTTATGTAGGTTCTTAATAAACTCATGAAGTGATGAATCAATCATTGTAAATATATTAAAATCATGTATATGAACTGCGATTTTGAGAAATGAAATTAAAGGCGATCCTGGTCAGACAAACTGGTAGTGCTTTGTTTGGGAACAGATCGTGACTGGGCATCGAAGTGGGATTTACCGGCGAGTAATATTGAAAACGAAAATGAAGGGATTCATCAGTAAAACTGAGACAAAAAGCGTTTGTATTTCCCTTTATGACCATATAATCACCTCAGCATACTTATTTAATGCGACGATCGGAGACAATTTTGTACTCTGATTGGTTGAGAACGTGGCGGGAGTTTTCTGGACCAATCAGAGAGTTTCGTAAGGGCAGAACCATGGCAAAGTGTGACTACTTTCACCACTCTGAAAATTGCGCTTGAACTAAAAATTCTCTCGTACCCGTTATGAAACCATTGTAAGGACACTCATACTCAAAAGATACTTGAAAAGAAGTGACATAACTCGGCCACTCTGTGATCTTGCACGCTCTATTGTCCCTGCACTCAAATGCCCAAAGTCTATCACCACTTGCTGGATTGTACGAGGCTGTGATCACACTGATGGACTTTCCTGGAAAATGTATTTAAATGATCCGAATGTTGTGACTGAATGAAGCAGGTATTATTTGTCAGGTGATGGATACCGCCGTGATTTAATTAAACATGACTCCGATTTTAACCCTTAAATTCCCATGAATGACCAAGACAGAATTTCTCCTCACAAAGTGCTTCCAATATCAAGTACACAAGTGATGAAAATAAAGAAAAATATCATTTAAGTGATTATTAGTTGATCCAATACAAAATTCTCCGAACTAACATCATAAGAATTGTATGTCAGACAGTAAGGAGAATTACTGATAAGATCTTGGGAGCGAAAGGGCTAAGGGCTCGATTTCAGAGTGAGTGTCAGTAGGGGCTGAAAGTTTGATTCCTCAACTGAAATAAAGTAATCATTTATTGAGTCGGTGTAAGAAATAAGGGAATCTGGTTTGATTTCTCGCAAAAAGAAAAGAAAGAGGTATGTTTAATATTACCTGGCGGGCAAATGAACTGAAGCGGTCCATAACCATTGTTGTTGTTGTTATTGTTATTGTTGTTATTGTTATTGTTGTTATTGTTGTTATTGTTATTGTTGTTGTTATTGTTGTTACAAACCACACGTTTTACCAATCCCCAATTGTTGTTATTGTTGTTGTTGTTATTGTTGTTGTTGTTGTTGTTGTTATTGTTGTTGTTATTGTTGTTGTTATTGTTGTTGTTGCAAACTATCCGCTTGAATTTTGATTTGCCTTCGTCTTTAGCTGATGTCTCTGCAGAAGCCAGCAGGATCGATAGGAATCCAGCCACGACGAGAACGAAGGAAATAGAACGAGCCATGACAGCAACCGGCTAATCTGCATGAAAATCGCGATACGTTTGAGTTAATATACTTGATTCGTTTAAGTTATGTGAACATGAAGTGTTCAAAGAGCCAAGCAGTGCTTGAAATAACGATGCCAATGTAGAAAGACGAAAGGAATAAAAAGGATCGGAAAAGGCGCAGAAGGTGAGAGCACATTTAGTGTGCCTTCCTACAGGATCTCTTGTATTTCTTTTTCATCCTCGGCCCAAGAGGCCCGCTAATCTTTGTCATATATTGACAATCTGTTTTTGAATTAGGCAAACACCTGTCAGGCGCTTATCACAACTTATTAGCTGTAACAAATTGATTAAAAAAGTGTCTCATTCCACAAATTCTAAGATCACTTAAGGCGCTGCTTCCGATTTTTTTAACTAGCATATTGCGTCATCTTAGCTTTCTAAATACCTTCGTTGTTGCATATATCGCTCTTTAATTGGTTTATAGAACTCAATTTTTTATTCCGTTTCAACACACGTATTTCTTGCTAGTAGAGTTATTTTTCAGCTCTCCTAATTTGTCTCGTTAACTCTACACCCGTACGAATCAGAAAAATTGAATAATGACTAGAAAAGTTTGAAGAGTGATGTGCCTTTTCTCTGACGAGCTTCATTGAAAACCGCGTAAAATGCATACGGTTTTGCACGGGGTTATAACATAATTCGTTTAGTTCGATTCTTGTAAGCGTCCTACGAGCAGTGTGGTCCATTTATGGCCTAATGTTTTCCTGTTTCTGCCGCGTAGAGCAGAAGCGCGGAGTATACCTCGTTCTCCCAGATGCTATACTCAAATGATCCCGTAGCACTTTCTCAAATTCCTTGGCAATTTTTCTGCGTCTATTTACACCCAAGACTGGGGGAAAAGCACCAGCCAATCTTAACTCTAATGGTTTTCAAAGTGTTGCTTAGCCACCAGGGTGCCTGTCTTTCATCATACCCAGTCCAGCGAGAACTGACTTGATTGTTTTGAGTGCAGCATCGTTAGAGGACACGGCGGCTTAAGTATCAGTGCAGGGATTCTGGGTCATTTGGGACAAATTTAATTCGTTTGCACCCAATGCTTAGCTCCATGTTCTCAGGTAGATGCCGGAAGGGATTTTAAAAACCCGTTTTTACGTACCTTTGCAAAAGCAGCTGTTAAACTGAAAACCTCTGCAGTCAAAAAAAAGAATACTTCTGAACTTGACCACGAAATTATCTAACTTAATTTCATTATTTCCAGTTTTGAATTTTATTGTCATATGCAAATTACACGCATTCTCTGAAGGTACACATTATGTTATGGGTAAACAAGGCAGGGGCTTTCAGTTCATTGACACAAGTTTGCGAAAGTTTCTGGAGACCACCTTCCATGGTAAAGTAACCATTTGTTTAAACAAATGAAAAAAAAGAAATATACGAACGGATGTTCTATTAACAAACAAAGAAAGGAATACCTATTAAGAAGTTATTGAATAGGAAGCCAGGCGAGATGTTGGGAGATCACGAGATTCATTAGCCGGAGGCAAGAAAAATAACGGGAAAAAAAACGAGAAGAAGAAAAAGGAGAGAGAAATCCGTCTGGCGGCGGTGGGTAATGAAACCTCTCTGTTAAAAACCATACCTTACATAATCTGAAATTAAGTGCGCCCATTCGCTGATATATTTCAGATCTCGTTTATGAACTAATCTTCTGGGTTAGCTTTGTTGTAATCTTTTGAGTGTAAATTCTCTCTTTTTTCTCATGTTTTGTGTTTACTTCTCTAGGGTATTGATATTTCCTGGTTTTAATCCTCTTTCAAGAGATTTAAGAGGTTTTAAATTTATCAAAATCATTCTGAGGATGATGATAAAATTGATGTAATTTTTATTCGGTTGTCTGTCATCGTCATCTATTAAGAGAGCATGAAGCAGCATTTTGTCACCAATCTTTTTCATAAAGTTATTTCCGTTTATTATTGTCGAGTACAGAAATTTATTGATATTTAAAATGATAAACAACAAATTTTTAAGCGTTTTCACATTCATCAATTAACTCGGGATCAATTGTCGTCGGAGCAACAGCGACAGGAGCACTCGTTGTCGGTGGCTGCGTCGGCGGCTGTGTCGGTGGCTGTGTTGTGGTCGGCGGCTGTGTCGGTGGCTGTGTTGTGATAGGCGCCTTTGTTGTCGGAGCCTGAGTGACCGGAGCTGGAGTTTTAGGATTGGTGGGAATTCTTATTCTAATGGGCGGTATTCTAATTCTTGGTACCCGGATCCTGCCCCATCCATCAGTAGAACTGATCAGCACCCCAAGAACTGCAACAGTCGTGTAGACAATCAAAAACCTGCACATCGTCACCCTAAGAAAAAGATCACATTATTGATTTGTAGTAATATTTTTTTGTACGTAGTGATAATAACTTTGAAAAAGGATTTAAGCAAAATGGAACGCCAAAAGTATGTACGGCTGAGCCGTTCAAAATTCGATTACTACTAATAGTTTATATTAGTCATGTGAACAAAGAAACTTTGAAAGAAATAAAGCGATTAACATTGAAAAAAGAAACTCTCTGAATGCATATTTGTAAGGGTATAGCAGATCAGTGTTAGTAGTTTAGTGAATTTAGCAATTTTACGATGTCATATATATTTCTGAGGCCCAGAGAATAAATGTAAAATGCTCACACACGATCTTGTTTATTGAATTTTTGAGAAATTAAATCTGCAAAATAAGAAACCAGTCATTATTCAGTGGTGGGGGGGGGGGGGGGGGGGAAGGGGGGAAGGGGGAGGAGGGGGGGGAGAGGGCGGGAACTAAAGAAATTGACGGCCAGTTAACTGCCAGTGAGGGACTATCAAAAGAATATTACAGAGCCTTACTGGGCCGTTGGGGAATCAGTTAAATTTCATTGTGGAACAATCCAATTCCTGCGACCCCTCCTTCTCCCTTTACCCCCACCCCCACAGTCAATGAATACTGACCGGTCCTCGATGATCAAAGAGAGAGAGAGAGGGACAGAGAGAGAGAGAGAGAGAGAGAGGGAGAGAGAGAGAGAGAGAGAGAGAGAGAGAGAGAGATTGATGGGCACTTTGGTAACCTAAAATAGGGCACTTTGGTACCTTCAGGGCACTTTCGTAACGTGGTGTAGGGCACTTTAGTAACTTTCGGGCCTTTTGGTAACGTGGTGTAGGGCACTTTAGTAACTTTCGGGCCTTTTGGTAACGTGGTGTAGGGCACTTCGGTAACTTTAGGGCAATTTAGTAACGTGAAATATGGCACTTCTGTAACGTGATTATTATCAGACGAAATCTAAATTTTTCGACGTTACACAGGTTGTTTTGGTTTTCAAAATAGTGGATTGCCGTATGAAATTTTACAGCTGGACAAAGACATTCCATTTTCAACTAATTTAACCAAAAATTGCTTCAGAATATAGGAAAGATATCTGTTTACAAGCAAGCCTTTTGTTATTTTAATGTACCAGCCACGGAAGCAAAAGAACCTCGTTTCAAGAGCTAACAAGTATCTGGTTAGCACGTTAACATCAATAGGTGACATCAGGGATACCTCTCTATTAATGTTAGCAGTGGGATGCAACCACAAAACAGTTCTGACTCAATTCTTGTTTTGTGATATGTCACAGAAAAATGCGACTTTTTAATCCGAGTCTCATTCAAACGAAGGAGCGCCGGAAGCTCAATGGTCGCCAGCGTTTTATCTATGGCAAAGACAATTTCCAGACCGATCCCAAGCCGGAACCAGTTTAAATTCTTATTTAATTGTACGCATTTTTGTCCTATAATTAGACGGGTTCCGAAAAAAAATATCACAGTTGTACCATCGCACCCCTCTTCACGGACGCCCCCTCGTTATAAGGGACAGGTTTTGTTGTCCCGGGGAAATGTCCTCATATTGTCTTTACATTTAAGCCGCGTACTATGGACACCTTTAACACGGACAGAGGATACCTTTATTCTTCTTCAGTGAACTGATTCTCATAAGCTTACTTCGTCAACATGGGCTCACCTCTGCTGTGCACTGTAATATCCTTTATTTTTGTTTTAATGTAGGTAACATTACGTCCGTGTTTACAACACTGACGAAAAATCATTCTTTAAAATATCTACTGTTCTTTAAAAGGCTCTTCAACAATTCCTTCCGTTCCTTGACTAAGTAACCTTCACAAGAAAATGAAAAGAGACTTTTTGAACATTTAAACTGCAAATGTCAACCTTAACCAGCTAAAAGGCTCTTGAACAATTCGTCCCATTCCTGGACTACTTAGCTATAACAAGAAAACGAAAAGCGACACTGACAAAATTTAACTTGAAAACGTCAACCTTAACCTTAAGCACCTAAAAAACTATTCCATAAAATATACTATGTCGATTGAAGGGTTTTTCAACAATTCTTTTTGTTTCTGGACTACCTATTAACCTAAACATGATTCCAGTTTCTGTTCCAGTTTCTACCCATCCGGCCTCATTCTATATTTTTCGCGCTTGCTTTCCTTTTTGCTCCTTCCTACTATAATGACTTATTTAAGGGGTGAAACTGCCCAGATTGGGCTGTTTTAGGAATTTTATTCTGATACTTACCCACGAGTTTCTAGGCTCCACCTCTTTCATAGAGTTCACATGGAATTCTTCCCCGGGAATGGAGCACTGACCAAAAGCCGGCCAGTAGGGCGGTTGTAGTATTGTTGACAATACCATGTAAATACGTTATAAATATATATAGGCAGCTGAATGACATTTCGACAGCAGATAAATACCAGACAACATTAATCAGCATACTTTTGAGGAAACTGCCGTCTTATACCAATCCGTTGGCTTTTCACAGGGTATTGAACTCAATTTGTGCTGCTTTTCAGTCCGATCGGAAAATGGCGGCTTCGAATAAAGCGTAACCTCTTATTACGCATTTTAGTAGAACTGATAGACTGACCGTCATGTCAACCACCCCCACCCACCCCACTTGGGCATACCCCTATGAAGACTGTCATCAAATAAAAGAACAATAATTCACATGAGTTAAACGGGTTTTTTTTATAGAAACACAAATAACATGAATTGTTTTATTCATTGGAAAGCCACCAGCAGAGTTATCAACAGTTTATGTGGCATACGTTGATCGTTACAAAAGTGCCCTAATCCTCGTTGCAAATATCTATCACTCCTTCTCGCCAACGGAAAAAACATTTGGTAACACAAGTGCTGTGGAATAAAAGCTTGTTTTTCAATAAATAACTCAGACACATAACGTTTATTCAAGGGCTTTAGGTAATCATGAATTTGTTATCATTCAAAATTAGTACAATAGGGCACTTATGTCACTCGGCAAAGTCTCTTCCCTTCAAACTTCCAAAATTTCCCCGAAAAAAATTTTTCTTTAAGTTTTTTTGTGTGCCACAATTAGGCAAAATAATGTTGTTTTCATATAAACTGTTTTAAACCTCAATCGCTACAAGTTGGGTGAGAATTTGACTTTAGAGCAGCAAAGTTAAGTTTTAAAATGTTGAAAGGTTTCGAAGTGAGCTCTTGTCTATGACAAAACATACAATCTTGCTAAATATTTTTGGGCTGTGAATTGCTCCCAAAATATTTAGTTGTGGAAAGTGAGAGAATGCCCAAAATATGCTAAATGAGTCGGATATCTATCTCATCAATGAAAATTTGAGTTGAAATGCAATTAAAAAGTACTTTCCACGGAGTAGGGAAGTTTCGTAACCTTTGAAACGTTTAAAAATTTGTAAAAAATTGGTTTTGATACGGTTGACCACAAGATTCTAACAGAATGTTGTAGATTCTGCATAAAAGCGTTTGAACTACTCAGGACGATGTAATCATGTTATTTACGCAAGATATCCGAAAGAGACTTGAAGTTACAAAAAATGCCCTATTTTCAATCTGCAGAGAGAGAGAGAGAGAGAGAGAGAGCCAACTTCAAACTGGAACAACTCCGATAAACACAAATGTAGGGAAATACGCAAAATGTCCGCTTTTGGATAAAAAAATAACGTAACAGCCCCAACGTTGTCACCTGATGCAACGATGAATAGTAGTTTTTTTGAAGTCTTGTTTCGAGATGGAGGTGAAAATGTGGTATACATCCACAACAGATATTTAACATGCATGTGTCCAGTACCATCAGTAAACGAGATTATCCCGTATTAAATGATCTACTTCAGTTGCTAAATACATGATATCAACACTATTGGCAAACGGCTTACTGAGTACATCTTTATGACATAATCTGACTTGAATTGCTTCTAGAAATTTTACTTTCTGGGGCGTAAACTTACGTCCTTATTTCAACAAACATGCCGCTTCGGCATGTATTTCAATTGACATATAAAAATATGTGGTCTGTTGGTTTTTTTTTAGAAATTAGAAACCCAGTTTCATTAAAATTTGCAGCAAATCGAGAAATAGACAAAGTATTAATTAGCATCAAATTGAAATCAATTTCCACAGTCACACAGCTGGTGTCGTTACAGGGATTTATGATCCATTGCCATGGGCATTATTGATCTTTTTATTAACTACAGTTACTGACAACATTTAAGACGCTGCACACTTTTTTCTTCAACACTCGTTTTCATCAGACCTTTGGCAAATTCAAAGAAATTCTCTAGAGAAGATTTTTGCAAGAATTATTCCATTTGAATTAAAGCTGCATCGAAAGAAAATCATTTATTATAATCGCTAGTAAAGTAGATAAATGCGAGGAAGCCTTTTCTTAAATTCTCATAATTAGCCCAAATCGCTGTTACTGAAATGTTACTGTGAACCGTTGCATTGACACCAGCCCTGAAATTTCACAAAATTCATAATCACAGGAAAATGTGAACGCAACAAGTAGTTAAGAATGACGGTACACTTTTATTTTAAGAGGTCATTGAGCAAAACGTGTCCATGAAATGAATGGAAAATAACGCAGGATACACGTTAAAAAGTAAGATATGACTCGTCAACTAAATTTGCGAACGGCCTTTCTTTTTCGTTTGTGGATTTAAACTAAACATAATAGTTAAAAATTATAAGTTAACTGAATAAAGTTTTATTTGTGTCCAATAGATTTTAAACTTACCCCAGTTACGATCTAATGAAATCTCCAAATATCTTGACGGATTCTTTACAGCGAGGCAGAGACAAGCTATCCGACTAAACTGACTTGATAGACAAAGTAAAAACAGAGTTTCTCAATTGAGATCATAGATCGTGAATATTACTCAAACGTAAATTCTAAACACAGCTGCGAATACGTAAATCACAATTTCAACACCATTTTAACGAAAACACACGATTAACAAAGATAGAAATATTATGAATATTTATTCAATTACGACATTGAAGAGATCTTAACTTCTCCCCTAATAAGCGGACAAACACAGCTTGAATAGTTTATTCAGTTATGTAAACAAAAATATCAATTAGTAATATTTGAATCACGTAACACCAGAATTATTGGAAAAAATTCACGCATTGGAAGGACTTATTTTGCCTTTCGTAGACCTTGAAAAGTAATGTTATATTTTTTCTTAGAGGCTTACGTGGATTGTAACCATGTAGGTATCTTTTCGTGTCATCTAGGCAGTCATTTGCCGGTAACATTAATTCTGTTTACAGAGAAATCACTTAGCATATCAGTGATATTGCAATTATATTACATAGAATGAGTTTAAACGTTTTCTCAAACTACAGAGGACACACGTTTTATTTTTTTGAACTAATTATAACTTTTCTATCGTATTTCTATCAAGTTTCGTTATCGTCTGGAAATATAACATAATGTTTGCAATTTTGGAAATCTTTCATTTGTTTTGTAAGCGGCACTGCTTTTGATTCTCGTTCTTTCGATTTCTTTTGTTTCATTTTTAATGCGCACGCGCGAAAGAATTAGCAGTTATTATTGATCTATTGAGGTGTCGTGACGTAGTTCTTGGTGTTGTCTTCAAAATTCAAATTGGTCTTTTTAGTTGTTTTGGGTTACTGAATTATTTGCATTACTGAGTTGATTTGTGAAACTTTTAAAATTTTTATCAACTCAAAAAAACTGACATCTTGCAACTTTACGTAAATTCTGTTGAAAAGATTCCGAAGCAAATCTAAGCAAGCTTGTAGCAAAAGTTGGTTCACGAAAAATCAATGAAATCATTGAGTAGAGAAGATGAAATATGCGTGAAATGATAAAGAATAATTTAATGATTAGTGAAAGCGATGGACATGTTAAAATTAATTATCTCGATAGTCATGATATTCAGTTCACTAAAGTGAACAAAGAAACGATTGACATGTAATCATTAAACATTTGGTCTCATGGAAAACTAGAACTGCTGAATGGAAAAATTTTGTCCCTTGAGTCTTTCATTCACAAAAAAGAAATTGTCCTTTTCTTGTAAAAAAGAAGAAAAAACTCTTGACCAGTAAAAGATGAGGTATTTCGAAACTTAGCACCTACCGGCAAGGAACCAATTTCCACAATTATTTTGACATTTCTGTTAAATAAATGTTGCTCAGAAACGATCGCGAGTGGTTGGCGATCCTTCGGGAAAGAGGACTAGACTGCTAATCGTCCTTAATAATTTGTGACCGAGATTTTGAGCATAGAACTCAACGAGTCCGCTTGCAAGTTCTCAAAGATATCCGATGAGTTTCCGGCCAAGGTGAAAACCTGCATAATAGCAACCATTAACTATTTTCGTTTTTTAAGTGTAAAATGACGGCATAAAGTCTCGATACTAAAAAAACTGAATGCTACTTTGGGTCTAGTGCTCTTAATTAAAAGGCTTAAACTTCACATTGTCTTGTTAAGGAGAAAATACCTAGATAGTTTAGTACCACCTTATCTAAATAATTATTTTTATTTTAATGCCTCTGTAAACACAGTTTCGACTAGACGCTGTAATGACATTCGTATCCGAAAGTAAGCCAAGAGGCTGCCAAGAGATCTTATTTTGGTTTTTTACCATAAAATATACCTAATGACCCCATAAAGCTCTGTAATATTATTATAATTTCTCTCCCCCCTCTTTTTGTTGGCAATTACAAAAAAGTATTCATCGCTTGAAAAAGGAAAAACTTCTTGCAGCCTCCACGGGATTTGAGGGAATAAGGCGAACGCACGCACACGGCACGTTATAACACGCTCGCACGTTAAGGGCATGACACGCTTACCGTGTAGATATGCGCATAAAAACAATTGATTTTGAAAAGCGTGTTTGTAGCCATTCTTCATATCTGGCTAACACGATAGAGCTTTGTTTCTAGAACACGCTAGATTTTTTGTTTTGCTTTCACACGCTCAGTTCCTTTGTTTCCTTAGCACGCTAGCTTATCTTGGACAACCCAGCTTACTTTGTTACTTGTGTTTATCAGCTGCTTAATTGTGAGAATGGTACAGTGTTTGTGAGGTATACTACTTACAGAATGTAAGTGAAAACGAAGAAGATCTTCTGTCCTTTTCGAGAGTTGTAATAAAAAAGGAAACATTTACGGCAAATAACGGCTCTTTCCCTCAGGATTTTCACAAGGAATTCAGTGAGAACGACTTGTTCACAAGGTCCAGAGGAGCTCAGTTTGAACACATGAATTACCTTTTTAAAACTTAATTCTTACTTTGTAAAATATAAACCCTTATCGCTTCACGCAGTTAATATGCCCAGTACCGAATCTTTGTGACTCCTTTAGCAACTGTTACAGTTTTTTGGCTTCATGTCTCCTGATCGACGCGGTCGCTGTTCGTCACTCGATGCAAATCGGCATTTTTAAAATAAATAACCACCAGTTAGCCGGCGCAAAACGAAGTTTTCCGAGCAGAAGCCGCGTATTATTTACTGTACACCGATCTTGGCATCTTACGAGCTCTTAGTCTTTAGCACTGCGGTATATACCTTGCGTAACGCAACTGTAACGTCGACATGTTCTCTTATGTTTGGCGATTTAGCGACCAAAGTTGCACTAGGTATTGAGCATGAGGGGACGCAAATCGTCTGTACTGTAAGTATCCCGGAGAGTCCCCTACATTTTCTTAGACTTTTAGTCTAAGAAAATGTATGGGACTTTTTGAACGCTGTAAGGTGTCATAATCCTGTTGCTGCTGACATCGATGTGACAGATAGTTGCTTTTGCACTGTTTTCTTTGCCGGCTTATACTTGTCATCAAGTTTCAGTAAGACGGCTATCATTTTTCACAAGAATAATGAAGTTTTCGTAAATTGTGAGATCGGATGCAAGAGCACGTGTTCAACTATTTCCCTCTTCTTACGGAGCTTGATATGTACTTACAGTGCAGACGATTTGCGTCCCCTCATGATCGTATTGGCCGAGCGTGTAGCTGTGCCAAGAAGCCTTACAGCTTAGGACGTACTACTTGTACAAATCAAAAGCAACTTTAACTTTAAGAGGCGTGTTATAAAATTGGCACGGTCACCATATTATATCGTGCAAAGTTGCAAGCAAGATCTTAACACGGCTCCTTGTCTCTACCGTGCGAAGCAAGACAATGGCTGCGAAGTTAATGAGGCAAGTAACTAACACGCAGCTAACGCGTTAAAAATTAGTTCTTTTGTTTTAACGTGCGAGCGTGCCGTGTGAGTGCGTTCACCTCATTCCTTGAAATCCCGTGGTTACAAATGGTGGCAACTTTTCTCATTTTATTTAAATGTTTGTTTCACTTCCATCCAGACATAGACATTGTTCACGATGTCCAATAATTTTTAGACGAAGTTTTCCTCTAAAGGTTGCTCTCTCCGAAACTCTCAATTTTGTGAGAAGGCTCGTGAATCACATTCATAGTCAGTTTCAGAGCAATTCAGTCTCATAGCTTTACATCTATCGATGAATGGCTGGGTTGATTTCCGACGTCCTCTATAACTGGAGGAAAATCCTTCCTTCCTGAAAGCAGCTTTACAATTTTTTCCAACATTTCCGTTTGGTTTTCTACGTTGGCGTAAAGCCTCTCCACTCTAAAGGAAAATGAACAAAAATAAGAAAACCTTACCCAAGATAATAAGGAAAAAAAGCTTGTAAATAAAAAAAATGGATGATAATTAAACAAAATTGCTTTGTCCCCCGAAATATTTCTCAGAAACCAACAACTTATTTGCGATTAAAGGTAACAATATCATGCAAACTATTTAGAGTATCTAACTTTTTTGTCGATAGAAACCTAGCACTGCATTACCTCTGCTCTACTTTGTCATGTGATTCAGTAAAAATTTTGAAATACTTTACAGATAAGTCATGGTCAGATCATACAAAAGTATGACGTAACTAACCAGAGGTGACTCTTCATCTCGCATTTAGGGTGCGCACATAAATTTCAGAACATTTTAAATGGTTTGATTTCTTATGTGTGGTTGTAATGTTTATTTACATTCTTATTGGTCGTTTTGACATTCAATTGAAATAGTCACAAACTACTGTCACAAATCATGTGCTAGGGAACTGTGGGTAAGACACGAACAAAGCTAAAAGAGAAGGAGGTTGTGAGGGTGGAGCTGAGTCTATTAAGAGCAAATGTTGATACTGATAAACAAAGATTAAAAATCACTCTTCCTCAACCGAAAGGCGCGAATAAACCATGTTAAAGTTTCAAATGAGGAACTCCCGAGGGGCCTAGTAATGGTGACTAGTTCCCTCGTGTGTGCTAACCTATAAGAAGATGCATAACTTGCAGCTGTTTTCGATTATTCGGTAACTATCGTATTGTATTGTTTATCAAAAGAAGATAGCGGTAAACTTATACTTTTGCTCCAAAGCACCAATTCTCTGGAAGAATGCGGAAGTCTTTTCTTCGCAGTTGTCGGGGTCATGTTCATCCAAGGAGGAGTTATCCTTCATCCCACTCATCAACCGACGAATGTTCTAATAATGAGTAAAGATGAGTAACTTGAAATTAGTTAATAAGAAATGATTGAATTGACGAAATAAAAAACAAAGACAGGAAGAAAAAAGCAAGGAAACGAGTGCAGTGATTTGAGTTAATTCTAGTTAAGTATAAAAAAAAAATATCTGTTAGTCGATTATTTTCAGCATAAAGCAATTTCCACTTGATTGTCAAAAATAATCTACAACCTTTTTGGTTTTTTCTTTAACCTCGCTCTGTGCTTGGTTTTCAAAACTCGTAACGCCATCCTTTCAACTAATCAGATGATGCATTTTGCCGTGCTTCTGGTAATTTGCTTGTTTTTAATTTAACCTCTAGATGGCTCCGTGTAA